ATCTAACTTCATACAACAAAATCAAAGGACAAACTAGTGACCATCGAACACATCTAACTTCATACATCAAAATCAAAGGACAAACTAGTGACCATCGAACACATCTAACTTCATACAACAAAATCAAAGGACAAACTAGTGACCATCGAACACATCTAACTTCATACAACAAAATCAAAGGACAAACTATGACCATGAACACATCTAACTTCATACAACAAAATCAAAGGACAAACTAGTGACCATCGAACACATCTAACTTCATACAACAAAATCAAAGGACAAACTAGTGACCATCGAACACATCTAACTTCATACAACAAAATCAAAGGACAAACTAGTGACCATCGAACACATCTAACTTCATACAACAAAATCAAAGGACAAACTAGTGACCATCGAACACATCTAACTTCATACAACAAAATCAAAGGACAAACTAGTGACCATCGAACACATCTAACTTCATACAACAAAATCAAAGGACAAACTAGTGACCATCGAACACATCTAACTTCATACAACAAAATCAAAGGACAAACTAGTGACCATCGAACACATCTAACTTCATACAACAAAATCAAAGGACAAACTAGTGACCATCGAACACATCTAACTTCATACAACAAAATCAAAGGACAAACTAGTGACCATCGAACACATCTAACTTCATACAACAAAATCAAAGGACAAACTAGTGACCATCAAACACATCTAACTTTATACAACAAAATCAAAGGACAAATTAGTGACCATCAAACACATCTAACTTTATATCACAAAACCACCAGATATACTAATGAGCATAATAATATGTATCAGATGAGATCATGAAGACGACGATATTACTTTCCTATAATCCCTATAGATCATCTTTCGAAACCGTTGGTAGTGTTTGTGTCTGCTGTCGACATCTATCATAGAAATGGTACACCCCTTAGAATATCGATTCAACTGCGAAAATTGAACAATATAAATTGGGGAAGAAGTAATGATACTATCTAAAAAAACCAGAAAATTCCATTACAGATATTTTAAATAATCAAGCTTATGACACATCGTAGTTTTGAAAAAAAAGCTGGTCGTTTTCAGTTGATGTTTACGTATATACAAAACGAGAAAATACCAACATGTCAACAAAACCATAATCCTAACTCATAAACAACAAGAAAATACCAACATGTCAACAAAACCATAATCCTCACTCATAAACAACAAGAAAATACCAACATGTCAACAAAACCATAATCCTAACTCATAAACAGCAAGAACATACCAACATATCAACAAAACCATAATCCTAACTCATAAACAACAAGAAAATACCAACATATCAACAAAACCATAATCCTCACTCATAAACAACAAGAAAATACCAACATGTCAACAAAACCATAATCCTAACTCATAAACAACAAGAAAATACCAACATGTCAACAAAACCATAATCCTCACTCATAAACAACAAGAAAATACCAACATGTCAACAAAACCATAATCAAAACTCAAATTCAATAAAACTAGTGCAAAATATGAACAAATGAAAAAATTTCTCTGTGACACATGAAAAAAGGAGGAGAATAAGACCAGGGGTTCCGGAAGATTAAGCGTTTTCCTCTTTATCGAGGACACCTGTCATGTAAATGTAAGTAAGTCATGTTAGGTTCTCAAATGAGGACCAATTATTCAACAACGGAACCAACAAGGAAACCAACAACCAAGCATCAAATACGCCAAGCTTCATACCACATATAGTATGTGTGCTCTCAAAGGATTGGAAACCTTACAATAGCGTGAATACACAAGGTACTATATACTGTATCTTATATGGCGAGTATTAAATCAACCTCCAACATACCGCTATATCAACATTAAAACAACAGAAAATTTATCAAGTATTGATGTCGATATCATAAGACCAATATCTTTTCCATAGCATCAACTGTTCAAACTGATGAAAGCTGATTATAGCTGAACACATAAGTACTTAGAACACACCACCTATACTATAACAATGTTTAGGTGATTCATCAAAAAATGTTCCACTTGTAAATTACAGCGACGAAGTAGGCATTAACATTGAAACGAACAAATATGAATTGCAGTTATTGGTTTACAGTACTTCAGTGATAAAAACTAAAGTTATCAAATAAATATATACCATCAGAAAGGTGACACATGTCTATCGATTGTCACTAGTTATAATTGTACAAGTTTGAAAATGACACACCTACAATATATACATTGACATCATTAGAATGATTTAAGTAGCATTTTTCCTTAAGATGTTTGCTGTCCTTTTTTGTGAAAATACATGAATTTTTTCCGTAAAATGACAACTGTATAGGATACATCATGCTTAAATATGTCTTTCGTCAGAAGAGGGCCAAAGTCACTGAACATTACTTCATTTCGCAAATACGTGTTTGTATTTGTTTCTCAATATTGATGTAAATTAATCTTAATGTTTCAAGAAATGTTTGTAAATGACATAATTCTTTTGAAAAAAAGTCATAATTTAGAATAACGGCACAAATCAAGAAATGAATCGATGTATCTAAGATTATATTGAACTTAAATCCCCCACCCCTCTCTCGCCACTCCCACCCAACTGATTTTATAGAAAATCAATTTTCCTATTTTGTTTTTGATAATTGTTAAATAAATAGCTTTTCTCATCGACATTGTGTGGGTGTGTTTTTTGCAACGATAAGATGCAGGATGTTTAGGCGCGTACTAAATATCACTTACGTGTCTTTGCACAAACTACAATCCATACAAAACGTTATCTCAAGATTCCAGCACAACTAAAGAAAAACAGAGTGGCAGATATTACAGGTGTTTTTATATATATCTTACAAAACGACTTGGTATTTCAGTCCATACCATTAAATATGGCAACATAGATGGAAACACGTCAAGAGTAAGCCAATGACACGATCACGTTTTTGTTGACACGTTTAACTGATTTTTTTCAGTGAAGAACGTGATTTCAATGAGGGTTCGTTGTAATAGTTAAGAACATAATTTACACAGGCAACCATCCTATTCATCTTTGTACTTTAATTTACCTATAGTACCAAACATGTTCATCTTGCCTTTTGATCTTCTCTCTCGGCTGTCTACCGATCTCGTTGAAACTTGTTAGACTTAATTACCACGACATGTTTTTTTAGAAACACTTATTACTTCATTCCCATATTTGTATTGATTACAACACAACAATATAGATATCTTCGTAATGAACTGAAATAGTTTGTTCTACCTTGTTTTTCAGTAAGAATTTCCTGCATGGGATAAATGCGCCCTGATGATCAATAATCTATGTACTTTCCTTTAATGCAAAATATGTGCCACTATGTAGTGCAACAACCTTAGATTTGACAGAAGACAATTGGAAGCATGTCGCCGTAATAAACATCTCATCTTTGTGTACAGAAACAGATTAAATCGTGTGTAGCATCCATCGAGACTGAAGTAAAAATCAATCAAATGTGACAAGTTAAAAAACATAGGTTGGAGAAGCAGGTGTGTTACTATCTAGAGAAAGAAAATTCACAGTAATGAAATTGAAATTATCACATTTAACATGCGGTTTTGTTTGTGTCGTTTACCTTGTACTGTCAGCAGATAAATATGAGGCGTCTATATCACGCTGGCATTTAAAGTAATATATTCAAAAGTGAAATTGAACGAGAAAGAAATTTACTAGTAATCCGTTCTGTATTACCAGAAAACACTGACAAAAGTCAATGTTGCATGTGCTGCTAAAATCTGTACAAATTTACGGATTCCATCGAGATATACAGCGGCGTTTTTCTAACAGTGTAAGTACTATGAAGTTAAATCAAAATTAGATTTCTGGTGATTACATGCATGAAATTTGCTAGAAGTCTTCTCACTTTTAAATTTCTGTACATTGGCAGTCTTAGAAATTTTGCATAAATTTGACGCGCCATTATAAACAAGAGGCCCATGGACCTAAATGGCCAGCAGAACAATCTTAAGTCTGAAACTGCAAAGAGCCATAACCCTATCAGTTACAACAAATCTGTCTGATTATTGAACTCATCTAAGATTTTATTAATACTAGGCTGTATACCAAATTTTATTAAAATCTTTGCATATTTACTTGAATTCTGGTGTTCACAAGATCCATGGTTATAACTTGTAATGGGCCATAACTCTGTAAATTATGATCCAATTAATCCCATTGTATTACTCAAGTGAGATCCTATTGATATCATTTTACAAACCACAAACCAAGTTTCATAAAAAATTTTTTATTATGTTTATCCAAGTTATCATGATCGCAATGTCTGTGGTAATAAAATTGCTGAGGGCCATAACTCTGTAAATTAGATTTTAATCAATCCTATAATTGAACTCAACTGAGATGTTGTTGATATTAGACTTCATTCTAAATTTCATCAAATCTGTTCCTTTTTACTCAAATTATTATAATGTTCACATGAGCAATGGTACTAAAACTGTGAAGGGCCATAACTCTGTATTTGACAATCAAATCAACCAATTAATAATCTGATATGATAACAAATTGATACAAGGCTGCATACAAAGTTTCATTGGAATCTGTTCATATTTACTCAAGTTATCGTATTCACAAAATCCAATGGTACCTTTAAAGAGCCATACCTGTAAACTACGATCTAATCGTTCTCATTCACGAACTTAACCGAGATCTTAATGATATAATCTGTAATTGTATTCACAAAAGAACAAATGAAAAATGTACAAAACAACAGATAAACAACGATCACTAGACACCAGGTGACATAAAAACAAAGTAAGATGATGATATGATATCTTTATTAATATCTTTTCTATCTCCCTGAGCAGTGTCATACCAGAATGATTTGTAAATCAAGAAAAGTCACACAGAACATGTCTTCATATTCTCAATCATGACATAATCACATGTCTTAAGTAAGACATAAACATTTTCTCTCTAGAAATCTGGGTCTGATTTATGTTTTTTCTCAGTCTAGTTCCAGGTCAAGGTCGTCTAAGTCACTATCTACATTGCTGGATGTTGAAAACATTGGAGATGGCTTCTTGGAGTTCAGACTGGTGAGCCAGGCAGGACTTGTTAGCATAGAACAGGGCATCTTGGGTGTAACCTGTGATGAACTAGGTGCACTTGTTTTCAATGGTTGTGGACAGCTGGAGGTGGTTTGTGCAATGTTCAGTGTTTGTGATGGCTCCTTGTTGTGCGAGATAAGGTGACTTTTCTTTGAGTCGTAAAGTTTACCTTTCAGACTTTCACTACTTTCAGTCTGAGGTGCCTGCTCAGACCTACATGACAAAGTTTTACGGGAGAACTTGAACTTGCTTAAATTCAAATCCTTACATATTTTATTTGACTCTCTATCTGCAGGAAATGACTCCAGCTTACTTTGGTTAGATTTAACAAACAAATTGTCTTTCAAAACCCGTGCTTTTTTGTTACAATTTTCTACAATGTCTAATTCACTTGTTCCTAATCCAAATGATTTCTCTAATTTACTGTCAGCATCAGTTGACTGCGAGCATGAAATTACACTGTGAGAAGATTGTTCGATCCCGTCTGTCCAGAGATGACCAGAAAGCATGCTTTCAGACATCCCACTGTCTTGTCCACTGCGTTTCCGTTTGTGCCCAGATTTGTTAATGATATTTCCCTCTACTGAATTATCTGACAGAAGACTATCGTCTACAATTATCTCAGAGTCTTCACCCTCTCTGTCTGCTGTTGACATTGAGGAGGAACCAAACATAAATCTCGATAACTTTGACATTGTTTTGTTCGACACACTGTGACATTTAGCATCACCGTTAGCTCTATCCCCTGTACTTTTGCTTTCCATAGAAATTTCTATGTCTGTGTGTGTCTTTGTAGATACTTCCTGATTTTCTTTTGAATACCGTTTGCAAGCATTCTTTTCAATGTTTTCATCAGATTTAGATAAATTTTCTGATGACCCTCTCTCATTTTTAGATGCTTCTATTTTACTGAGTAGCTTTGACACCAGCTTCTTTGATCCAGCTTTCGGTTTATCAACACCTGTATCTTTCACATACACAAGTTTGCCTTGGTGGTCCTTGTCACATATATCTAATATATCTGAGCCAGATGCTCGGCTGTTTTCTTTAGAAACCATTTTTCTATTTTTCTCTTCTAGTAAACGATTCTGAATTGCCCGTGTAACAGATTGAGTGGAAATCATCTCTTTTCTCTGTGTTAGAAATCTATGGTCCGGAGACACAGCAATGTCAGACATGTCAGACAAACTGATGTTAGGACACTCCTTCGGGTCCCTCAGTTCTCGCTGGGATAGTTGTGTGGAAGTTTGAGGTCTTGGACTCAGGAAGGTCGGAGTCAGTCCCACAGAGGGAGCAGCAAAAGAACCTATACTGGACGAGCTATCATCTACACTGGTGTTTAACAGATCTGTGAGAGCCAAGTCAAGGCTGTCCGAATCAGAAGACGATTTTCTGCTTCCTTCAGTCTGTGGCCTGGATCTTTCTTTCTCCATAACAACATTGACTTTCCCCGATTTAGCCATATGATCCACTGGTGACTTTACTTCATGGCTGTCAATGTTCACATCCATGGCTGATCCTTGTCTTACATTCTTATGTCCCACTTTTCCTTGGTTATCATGAGACACGCCTTTTGCTCCATGACCTTGAATATCCAAATCACTGATTGGTTCAATTCCTAAGTTCTGACCTGCATCTATATGGTGTTTACCTTGGAGTAAGCCTGAACTATCACTTATCTGTGATCTGAACACATTTTGTTGCATATTTTCTGTCTCTGTTATTGAATTTTGACCAGAAGGTGAGATTTCACAGTTTCCAGGCCCCTGGGTACTGCCCCCTCCCTCAGACCCAGTCCCACCAGATTCTTCCTCTTCCTTCAGCCTCACCATCTCCTGCTCCAGTAGATCATGTAGATTAAGTCTATTCAACACCATCTCAGCTGCAACACAGAATGAAATTATACCTGGGGATTATGGTTTATTCAACAAAGAAGTAGAAAATAAACAAATATTATTTTCATTTTCAACACAGAACAATTCACATAATGACCTTCTTCACTGATCATAGAAATGGATAATTAATATCAATTTGACAAGTACTTCACTTAAAATAAGAAAATCATTCATAATTAAGAACTACTACATAAACCCCAGATTAAGTGACTTTCTCTATTTCAGATTTTATTTTTGCATCATCATTTGAAAACCACAGTAAACTTGAATTAACATATCAAACACTTAATTATCAAAATGTTCTGAACTAATCTTTACTTCAGTATTTCTAGGCATTTTTCATTTTAATCACAAGTTAAATAAATTACAAAAGTGTCAAATTGCTTCTTAATTCAATTTAAATCAAATCTTTAATTTCTTACATTTACATTAAGATAGTCTAATATCTTATATTTGACCTTGACCTTCGACCAAACGACCTTTACTTTTGATCAAAATCTCATTGATCAACTTTGCTTCAGACTATGATGAAAATATTTACTAATTGTGGGATACTAAATGTGACCTTGATTTTGAATCTTTTGACCTTTACATTTGTTTTGACCTTGACATTTGATAAGGCACTTCCTCATCTGATTTTAGTCAACTTTGTTTTAAACTGTCATAACAAAATATTTATCAGTAAAATATCTCAAAATTTGACATTGACCTCCTAAGCAGAATTCTCACTGAATTTCAGTCAAGGGAACTGTACCAGTTGTATCACCATATGTTATGTATGATTGACAGTATGTTTCCAGTTCTTTTTCAAGTTAAAACATCAGCCTTATTAACCTCAGAAACAGTTTAAACTTCAACTGGACATCTGCACAGTGTATCATCATGTAAATTTAAGAAAGTTGGTCATAAGGACAACTTCCCAGTGTATGTGAGGTGAGTATGTGAATATGGCCATCTTGTAATAATGTGGACCTGAATTGAAGCTGACTTTATAGTGCTACCACACTGACCTGATCACATTATACTCACAACAACCCATATCTTGTAATAAGCCCATCTGGGTCTATTTCTGCTTCAAAAGTAGAATTATTAACAAATGCTTCTGTACTTAATTGTCCTGTCATTCATGTACACCTTAAGTTTGTACCAGAGATAATGAGATGGTCCAATTACAGGATAAGTGTTTACCTTGTATTTTGTACTCCTCTCCAGCATCCTCCGGGAAGGAAGTATGTAAAGCGTTGACTCCACCCAGCAAAGCAGCACCCTATAAAGATGGTAATGTCACAGCACTGTAAACAATTGGTTATTCACTCCTCAACCCTTACCAATCACATCACAGCACTCCTCATCTTCAACCAAACTCATCAAATCACATCACTCCTCATCTCCAACCAAACTCATCAAATCAAATCACTCCTCATCTCCAACCAAACACATCAAATCACTCCTCATCTCCAACCAAACACATCATATCAAATCACTCATCTCCAACCAAACACATCAAATCAAATCACTCCTCATTTTAAACCAAACACATCATATCACTCCTCTTCTCCAACCAAACACATCAAATCCCTCCTCATCTCCAACCAAACACATCAAATCAAATCACTCCTCATTTCCAACCAAACACATCATATCACTCCTCGTCTCCAACCACCAAACACTCCTCATCTCCAACCAAACACATCACATCACTCCTCATCTCCAACCAAACTCATCAAATCAAATCACTCCTCATCTCCAACCAAACTCATCAAATCAAATCACTCCTCATCTCCAACCAAACACATCAAATCACATCACTCCTCATCTCCAACCAAACACACATCGTATCAAATCCCTCCTCCTCATCTCCAACCAAACTCTCATCAAATCACTCCTCATCTCCAACCAAACACATCAAATCAAATCACTCCTCATTTCCAACCAAACACATCATCACTCCTCATCTCCAACCACACATCCACTCCTCATCTCCAACCAAACACATCAAATCAAATCACTCCTCATCTCCAACCAAACTCATCAAATCACTCCTCATTTCCAACCAAACACATTGTATCACATCACTCCTCATCTCCAACCAAACACATCAAATCCCTCCTCATCTCCAACCAAACACATCAAATCACTCCTCATCTCCAACCAAACACATCAAATCACTCCTCATCTCCAACCAAACTCATCAAATCAAATCACTCCTCATCTCCAACCAAACACATCAAATCACTCCTCATCTCCAACCAAACACATCAAATCACTCCTCATCTCCAACCAAACACATCAAATCACTCCTCATCTCCAACCAAACACATCAAATCACTCCTCATCTCCAACCAAACACATCAAATCACTCCTCATCTCCAACCAAACACATCATATCACTCCTCATCTCCAACCAAACACATCAAATCAAATCACTCCTCATCTCCAACCAAACACATCGTATCAAATCACTCCTCATCTCCAACCAAACACATCATATCACTCCTCATCTCCAACCAAACACATCGTATTAAATCACTCCTCATTTCCAACCAAACACATCATATCACTCCTCATCTCCAACCAAACACATCAAATCACTCCTCATCTCCAACCAAACACATCAAATCACTCCTCATCTCCAACCAAACACATCAAATCACTCCTCCTCAAATCTCCAACCAAACTCATCAAATCACTCCTCATCTCCAACCAAACACATCAACATCAAATCACTCCTCATCTCCAACCAAAACACATCAAATCACTCCTCATCTCCAACCAAAACATCAACTCCTCATCTCCAACCAAATCAAACACATCAAATCACTCCTCATCTCCAACCAAACACATCAAATCACTCCTCATCTCCAACCAAACACATCAAATCACTCCTCATCTCCAACCAAACACATCAAATCACTCCTCATATCCAACCAAACACATCAAATCACTCCTCATCTCCAACCAAACACATCAAATCACTCCTCATCTCCAACCAAACACATCAAATCACTCCTCATCTCCAACCAAACACATCAAATCACTCCTCATCTCCAACCAAACACATCAAATCACTCCTCATCTCCAACCAAACACATCAAATCACTCCTCATCTCCAACCAAACACATCAAATCACTCCTCATCTCCAACCAAACACACATCATCTCCAACCAAACACAATCACTCCTCATCTCCAACCAAACACATCAAATCACTCCTCATCTCCAACCAAACACATCAAATCACTCCTCATCTCCAACCAAACACATCAAATCACTCCTCATCTCCAACCAAACACATCAAATCACTCCTCATTTCCAACCAAACACATCATAACTCCTCACACCAAACATCAAATCACTCCTCATCTCCAACCAAACTCATCAAATCACTCCTCATTTCCAACCAAACACACCAAATCACTCCTCATCTCCAACCAAACACATCAAATCACTCCTCATCTCCAACCAAACTCATCAAATCACTCCTCATTTCCAACCAAACATCGTATTATATCACTCATCTCCAACCAAACACATTAAATCCCTCCTCATCTGCAACCAAACACATCAAATCACTCCTCATCTCCAACCAAACACATCAAATCACTCCTCATCTCCAACCAAACTCATCAAATCACTCCTCATTTCCAACCAAACACATCGTATCAAATCATTCCTCATTTCCAACCAAACACATCAAATCACTCCTCATTTCCAACCAAACACATCAAATCACTCCTCATTTCCAACCAAACACATCAAATCACTCCTAATCTCCGGCCAATCTCATTGTATCACATCACTCCTCATCTCCAGCCAAACATTTTAAAATGAAGAAAGAACAATATTGCTTTACATTAAGTTCTGCACACAATACTGGTCCAGGATTAGTTACCTGCATAGAGGACTCCATCAAAGTAACAGCTAAAACAGCATCTTGGACTGTCACTGTGTCTCGAAACATCAGACGAGCATGAGCTACAAGTGAGAGAGTAATATAAGAGATCCCAGAGGGATCTTGGCACCAACATTTAGGATCCTAAGTAGTACTATGTAAGTTGGATCTTTTTCCTTGTTTTAGGTTTTGTTCTGTTTTTTTTTTTTTTTTTTCTCTCTCTAAACTATTTGTTGTATTGACATGTAAATTAATGAAAAAGACACAGAATTTATGAATATTTCTTTAAGTATTTTTCAGGGGAATCATGAGAATAAGCCTGATTTGTCAAAGTCCAAGATGGCCAACCCTTGGCAATATTGCTTTTGCACAATTAATATTAATTGTTATTAATTATTATTGTTATTAGATATAGAATTTAAGAGTGAATAATCTGTCTAGTGCTTCTCAAGAAATTGATATCTACAAACTAAAAGTGTCTAGATTAAGGATGACTTCTTATTTCTGATCAGTCCCAAAACATGCAATGTACAAAGAAGTCAAGGTTCACCTACAAAAGAATTTGAGAACTATCCATAAAGTAGTTCTCAAAAAATAGCTTTCAAATGGCCACCTGTCCACCATCTCATTTTTTTTTTTTTTTTATGTCTAAAATCGAAATGGCACAACAAGGGACAAAGGGCACCCTAAATATGAAATATGAGAATGATCCATCCCGTACTTTTCATGAAATAGCCATAACAAACCTGTGCCAATTTGTTAGTCTGATCTGTACCAAAATTGATATGGTACAACTGGGAACTAAGACGAACCTAAATATAAGATTTGAGGAAGGTCCATTTTGTGTTTCCACTCTTAAAAATCCGAGACGGCTACCTGTCAGCCATTTGTTTTTTCCGATCAGTTTCCAAATTAAAAGGAAACAGCTAGATCCATCCTGCACCTCTCAAGAAATAATGATCACAAGAATTGTCGGACATTGTCTGGCAAAAGACCAAAGATGCAAGGTGATTTGAATAGCCCAACATCTCTGTTGGTAGGCTAAATAATTCACTACTATTAAAATTTCATATTTTGATACATTGGGATAAAAAAAAAGGGCTGAAGGTGTGACTTATTTGATTTTGATTTTAATTGTTTCTCATGAATTTGATTCAATGGCATTACAAATCATGTCAAATCATGATTTTTTCTGTAACACTAGCATAACCAGGGAGACATGTTCAAATCCAATCACATATCTCTACAGTATCATATGGTGAGACTTCAAATTATAGGAGAGGTTAGAAATTCATCACATTGGTATTACCTTGGATATCACTCGAGGGTATAATTATCTTGTCAAACACCATAAGCTGTTTACTGATTCTATCTGTGAATTCATTCTTGTAATGAAAAAAAATTATAGCACATAATTTATGCCAATATTTTCATTTACTTTGTTTCATCTTTGGTTTAGAAGTGAAATCAGTGACCACAATGCATACATTGTCTGTGAGTTAATTTAATTTCATCAACATATCTTCATCACTTCAAGGATAGTGTATTCATTTAAATTGAAGAAAGACAGAATCTCTACTGACACATTTTCCTACCGTCATACTACGGCTGGATATCCAAGGTATTGCAATCAATTACTTAATTTCTCCCGTGTTGCATTAAGTCAAAACCTAGCATTGTCTGATTGAAACTAATTACCCATCACACAAAGATGATGTCCTAAATTCTACCTAACATTTGTTGTTAATGAATATGCATACATGTACCAGCATTTTTGTAAATACATGAATTTAAAGTGCCAGTGTCGTGTTCAAAAATAAGGTGCATAATTTGCAGCAGAATCGATTTCAGTATAATTTCCTTCCTTCATGCACATCATTATATGTTGTACTTTAACTTCTCTGTGCAAAGTTACAACAACAATCAACATACCATATTGAAGAGTTGCACAAACAAGTTTTATGAAGCAAAACTTTTAAGTGTTAAGGGCCATAACTCTAGCAAAAATTTTAGATTTAGCACATCTTTCCTTCAAGTACCTGCAGGAATGATGTCGGTAATTGCGAGAAGTTGTCAACTGAAATGGAATCCAATTCCCCTTGCCAATATTTAACAGTGTAGGATTAAACATGAAATGCAGATGTGACTACAGAATGGTCCCACTGTGTACCATGTAGTCGTCAAAATGGCATATTAATTAGATACAAACAAAGTAGAACACAAAAGAATTAACACTCCTAAATAACATAGCAACAATTAAGGTACCAATGACTCACACCAAAACCTTCCCAACTTATTTTGAATTTGAACTATCAAATTTGTTTTAAATAGTTTTCCAATTTCCTATATATATACCCTGTGACAGCCGTATCATACTCTGTAAAAGTCTCATAGTCGTTCTGGCAGCGTTCCTGTCATCTGCTCCTCTCTGGGCTCGGTAGTACTCTCTAAGGACCCTACAATAGGCATAAAATATTCTCACTAAAACATGATGATCGTGTTGTGATAACTCCTGCATAATGACAATCATGTGATGATGATATGGTACAAGAACATGCTTTTATAACAAATGGAAGATTTTTTTACCTGCTTGAGTCCTCAGTCAGTTGAGGGTTTATAGACTTGACCAGAGACAGGTAAGCCTGCATTTTCTCTATCCCCCATAACTGCTTCATGTCGATGTCACCTACAGGTATTAAATCATGTACTGAATTTAGCAAGAAACCTGATATATTGACACCTGACTATAGGGATACTGTAGCTAACAAAATGGTATCCTATGTTATTCATATGTTTTTACAAACAAATTAATAGTTCAACAATAATTTTTAGAAGAAAAGAGAAGTTCATGTCTTTCTCCATTTTTACTTATTTTACAACAATAATGAAACAACCTTAAAGCTAATATCAATCACTCTTGTTGGCCTAGATATAAGCATACAGGACATCTTACTGCTGGAGGAAACTGGTGTATCAGGAAAAAAGCATGTGGTGAGCAAGGTGATCCACATACCCTTTAACACCACACGACCACAGTTACAGTAAGTTGTTAGCTACAACTGGACCCAGTTGCTCAAAGACTGGTTAGAGATTAAAAGGACCTGATGACTACCACTGGTTCACTCTAACCTTTGAGCAACCAGGGCCTGATGACGAATGATTAATTCATTAACCACTGACCAACCAGGGCCTGATGATTAATAACTGATCTGATTAACCAGTGTACCACAACTCACCGAGTGGATCTTTGTTTTCTAGAATGAAGCTGGACACAACCCGATCCCAATCCTCATTCTGAGTATCCAGTAGGACAAGGACAAGGTCAAATCGACTCAGGAGTGGACTGGCTAGAGCCACATTCACACATAACGACTGCCAACACAAGAGAGACACCATTCTACACAGGATATTACTGCAACTCTTCGTTTTTTAATTGGATGGAAAAATTAGATATGTAAATGATGATATATGTATTTCATATTGATAAAGATTCAGCATGATTATTTTTGTGCACTTTTTATTAGACTCTGAAATTTTAACAGAAAAATTTCTATTATAAAGTATAAAAACTTTGGTGTGTGGGTCAAAACATCTGAACTTGATTCCTAAATACAGGGTAAAGTTTCATTCACAATAACAATACTAAGAATGGTAATTTAAAGATGTATAGGACACTCGTGTCTGACCGGAAGTAGGGAATAATTCAATATGAAATAAAGTCCAATGTAATGTATTTTGAATTTTTAAATAATTTATTAACAATAATTGTATTTTGTCCATAGTGGAGTGCCTAATATGACATTCTGTAGAATTTTTTCCTGTAGACTACAATTTGTGATGGCTTTGATGTTGTGATTAATTTTTTAGCTCAAAAATTTTCAACATATTTTCCATTGCTAAAGTACTCCTTTTCAGTATTACTCATAAGTTTTTCACAGAAATCAACAAAATTTTCAATGAATTAGTCATCACCCATCACAAATTTGTAATGAGTAAATGTTGAATTGATGAATCACTTTTCTCAATTTTGGACCCCAAATATAAATAAACATTTCATTTTGTTTCCTGATTTTTGAAGAAAATGACATTTGGATGAGAATGACAAAAAATCAAGCAACCCTATATCCTTGTGTTGTATTTCCTATACCCTTGTGTTGTATTTCCTATACCCTTGTCTTGTATTTCCTATATCCATGTATTGTATTTCCTATACCCTTGTGTTGTATTTCCTATATCCATGTATTGTATTTCCTATACCCTTGTGTTGTATTTCCTATATCCATGTGTTGTATTTCCTGTACCCTTGTGTTGCATTTCCTGTACCCTGTGTTGTATTTCCTGTACCCTTGTGTTGTATTTCCTGTATTCTTGTGTTGTATTTCCTGTACCTTTGTGTTGTATTTCCTATACCCTTGTGTTGTATTTCCTATATCCTTGTGTTGTATTTCCTATACCCATGAGTTGTATTTCCTGTACCTTTATGTTGTATTTCCTGTACCCTTGTGTTGTATTTCCTGTACCCTTGTGTTGTATTTCCTGTACCCTTGTGTTGTATTTCCTATACCCTTGTGTTGTATTTCCTGTACCCTTGTGTTGTATTTCCTGTACCTGTGTGTTGTATTTCCTATACCCTTGTGTTGTATTTCCTATACCCTTGTGTTGTATTTCCTATACCCTTGTGTTGTATTTCCTATACCCTTGTGTTGTATTTCCTATACCCTTGTGTTGTATTTCCTTGTGTTGTATTTTTCCTGTACCTTTGTGTTGTATTTCCTATACCCTTGTGTTGTATTTACCCTTGTGTTGTATTTCCTGTACCCGTGTGTTGTATTTACCCTTGTGTTGTATTTCCTATACCCTTGTGTTGTATTTCCTTCCTTGTGTTGTATTTCCTATACCCTTGTGTTGTATTTCCTATACCCTTGTGTTGTATTTCCTTGTGTTGTATTTCCTGTACCCTTGTGTTGTATTTCCTGTACCTGTGTGTTGTATTTCCTATACCCTTGTGTTGTATTTCCTATACCCTTGTGTTGTATTTCCTGTATTCTTGTGTTGTATTTCCTGTACCTTTGTGTTGTATTTCCTGTACCTTTTTGTTGTATTTCCTGTACCCTTGTGTTGTATTTCCTGTACCCTTGTGTTGTATTTCCTTGTGTTGTATTTCCTATACCCTGTGTGTTGTACCTGTGTGTTGCATTATACCCTTGTGTTGTATTTCCTATACCCTTGTGTTGTATTTCCTATACCCTTGTGTTGTATTTCCTATACCCTTGTGTTGTATTTCCTATACCCTTGTGTTGTAGTTCCTATACCCTTGTGTTGTATTTCCTATACCCTTGTGTTGTATTTCCTATACCCTTGTGTTGTATTTCCTATATCCTTGTGTTGTATTTCCTATACCCTTGTGTTGTATTTCCTTGATCAAAATTCTTTCTTCTGTTTGCCATTTATCTGGATCCATCATTCAACAATGCTGAATCAGTAGACTAGAGTTGGTCAAAATTCTTTATTTGTGTTTTGATGTTATCAAACATTTTCCAACAATGAACATCAAATGACAGATCAAATTTAATTTTCTCACCACTAGCATAAGAAAGGAATAAAACGTAATCTTTATCAGGGAATCAATATCAGGCAGAATTCCTTCTGTTGGGTACAAATAAATATAAGCCAGGTGAAAATGTTGCTACCTCATTTGGGTCGTAGTGTCCCTTGGGGTTTGTAGCTGCCAGTATAGTAGTTCTGGTGTCCAGTTTACATACCATTCCTGCCTGATAATTAAGTCAGAGGAAACAAAAATAAAACATAATCACACATATGTTTAACTTCAACAATGTGAACATATATTAAACAGTGACCAGACTTACCCCTGACTTCAACAGCTACAACATTTAAGATAAAGGGGTTTAATTTCAGTTAGTGTTAATGATGCCATTGACTGCAATCTTCATCATGTATGTAAAAAATTGAATCATTCATAACTCTGATAATAGTCTCAGTGTAAGTTTCCATTACTGATGCCTGTAACCTTAACCTTAGCTGAAAGTAACCTATAACCTTCATGCCCTTGACTTCAGTGAAAATTGCCTTTCCTTTGATTGTCAATCACTGAAGAATTATCCAGCCAACAATTAAATTTATACTTTCTTGGCTAAAAGCATCTTTTTGTTGGACCCTGACGTAACACTGCTGACAGACCAGACATTGAGAGTAATTAATTGTTCCATTTACTGATTTTGGCCTCAGCTAAATACATGACTTGCATTGACTGTGACACAGACAGTAACACTCATCGAAGGTTATATGGACTATGCCCTGAACTTGACCTTATTTAAAGGTTACATTGACAGTGACACTGACCTCAGTCCAAGCTCAAGGCTACATCGACTTTAACCCTGACCTTGGCCCTCTCAGAAGAAGATCCCAGATGTGTAAATTTTAAGTGAGGTAGCAACTAGTTCCTACAAGGAGATTTAACCTCCACATGACCCTGGCTATTAAAGGATGAAAAATATAGCAGTAGTCACACCAACTTTGATCCTTGTTAAAGGTTATATTGACTGCACCCTGACTTTTGACCCAGTTAAAGGTTAAACTATGACCCTGACCTTGGCTACACTGATAGACTGTTGTTCCATGGCCTCATGTATGCTGGCCTTGTCATGTTCCCGGATACTGTTAAACTCATCAATGCAGCAAAGTCCGCCATCTGCCAGCACCAAGGCCCCTGCCTCCAACTGCCACTCACCACTGTCCTGCAGAAATCATATTCACATCTTATAAGATTTGTATCTCAAACAAGTGTTAATAAAACCATAGCGAAATTAATTGATATGACTGTAACTGGTATAATGAAATGTTTTAGAAAAAAATTTAATGATTTTAAAATTTATCAATAAACTTACAAATATTCAAATTTTGCTCATTAGTATTAAACATTCACCTCACCAACACCATAAATAATCATTATGTGGTAAATGGCTGTCTTACTTTCACTTTACTTTAAACGCTGTGATAGTGACACCACTAGTATGTACTATATCTATGGTCAGAACTTTTACTCTACCTTGACCGCTGTGACAGTGACACCACTAGTATGTACTATATCTATGGTCAGAACTTTTACTCTACCTTGACCGCTGTGACAGTGACACCACTAGTATGTACTATATCTATGGTCAGAACTTTTACTCTACCTTGACCGCTGTGACAGTGACACCACTGGTATGTAGTATATCTATGGTCAGAACTTTTACTCTACCTTGACCGCTGTGACAGTGACACCACTAGTATGTACTATATCTCTGGTCAGAACTTGTACTCTACCTTGACCGCTGTGACAGTGACACCACTAGTATGTAGTATATCTATGGTCAGAACTTTTACTCTACCTTGACCGCTGTGACAGTGACACCACTAGTATGTACTATATCTATGGTCAGAACTTTTACTCTACCTTGACCGCTGTGACAGTGACACCACTAGTATGTACTATATCTATGGTCAGAACTTTACTCTACCTTGACCGCTGTGACAGTGACACCACTAGTATGTACTATATCTCTGGTCAGAACTTTACTCTACCTAGACCGCTGTAACAGTGACACCACTAGTATGTAGTATATCTCTGGTCAGAAATTTACTCTACCTTGACCGCTGCGACAGTGACACCACTAGTATGTACTATATCTATGGTCAGAACTTTTATGCTACCTTGACCACTGTGACAGAGATGCCACTAGTATATACTATATCTCTGGTCAGAACTTTTACTCTACCTTGACCACTGTAACAGTGACACCACTAGTATGTACTATATCTATGATCAGAAATTTACTCTACCTTGACCGCTGTGACAGTGACACCACTAGTATGTACTATATCTATGGTCAGAACTTTTACTCTACCTTGACCGCTGTGACAGTGACACCACTAGTATGTACTATATCTCTGGTCAGAACTTTTACTCTACCTTGACCGCTGTGACAGTGACACCACTAGTATGTACTATATCTATGGTCAGAAATTTTACTCTATCTTGACCGCTGTGACAGTGACACCATTAGTATGTACTATATCTCTGGTCAGAACTTTTACTCTACCTTGACCGCTGTGACAGTGACACCACTAGTATGTACTACATCTCTGGTCAGAACCAGCATAAAGACACCCTTTATTGAATACCGTTTCTCTTGCTTAACCGCTATGGCAGTAAGACCAGCACTGTCAGTCCCTATATTTGTGGTCAGTACTTTTATTCCATCTTGACTGCTCTGACAGCAAGACCACTAATACTCCATACATGGTCATTACTTTCTGTTACTCTACCTTGACTGCTGTGACAGTGAGGCCAGCACTGGTGCTCCCTATTCCTGTGGTCAGTACAGATCTAGGTGTTATCTTTGATGCATATTTCATAAACTGTGACTTTCCAGTACCTGTTTGTATTAAGCAAGTCAAGTAATTACATTTACATACAGTCATAATGTACATTATGCCTGAAACAGATCATCCAAGACTTCTTTCAAGGTTATGTTCTTAGACCTCTGTAGAATAACAACAGCATCCACATGTTATATAAACAGATATTTATGTCTTACTCATAAGGATTTCTCTATGTGTAAGTTAAGATATTGTTTGGTACCTAATCAGTTCCAGGTCTTATTCTTTTACAAAAAGGTTATATCAGGCAACTCTAACAGCACAAATTATAAAGTTTAATCGTGGGTGATTGATATGACAAATATTGTAATTAAATTAGACTGACAAATGCTTTTATTACATCAGACAGATAAATATTCTAATTACATACAACCTCTGATTATTTAATTTTCAGCAACATTTCCTGTCCATCAGAGCTTGGACTTGAAACTTACTTTGTGTGTTTAAACAACAGCCCTTGGCTCTATTTGTGTAATATTCTTATTCGTAACTTAATTTATACATGTTTTTGAATAATGTTACACCTGGCAAATTATTGATCAGCTAACAGGCAGGAAATAAAAGAGAGAGAATAGACTACCTGGGTCTCCAACCATAAGCATATGTATTTCTCCTCGTACACGAGTTCCAGACTCATCAATCCTCTGCAAAAGTTATTTTCATATTAAAATAATCCTAGATGTTTACTCTAACTGTAGATAGAACATAAAGATATGAAACATATTTACACCAATAACAAATGGAACTAATTTTTTTAACTTGAAAGGAATGAAGTTTTTGATTCCAAATAAATTAAATCTATTCATAGGGTCAACTTTTCCATGCCTGTACTTGTACTGGCAACAACACACTTAGACTTTAAGAAAAAACAGTAAGCATAACTATTCTGTTATTTGTTTCTGCAATTTGTCTTAAGGCTACATGATACCATGAACACTACTTCCTTTAAAATCACCTCTCATGAAAGAAATCTTATCAAGACCACTTCAGTTTGAACATTTTTTGAAGGAGATACTTTCAATCAACTTTCTTTTGTTTGCAGTTTATATTCATAAATGATCAGACAGAAAAAAAACTGAGAAAGGTAATTTTCAGATATAAAGACAGAGATAGATATCAATGATTTTTCAGTAACATAAAGATAGTCTGTTTACGCAAAACGTAAATGTTGCAAACTTGTCATGTAGAATTCATGACAGTCAGTATTAAAAGTATATTTATAGTATATTCAACACTAAGGTGATAATATCCACTTAAGGGACAATGTTGGTCATCCATTATTATCTGTACTGACCTGTACCCCTCCAGCCAACACCACTGCGACTGCCAGCTTGACCACATACAACCCATACACCTGTGGACATAGGCTAGCCAAAATCTGGTTACGACCTTTCAGTGGACAGGATTTGTGCTGTTCCCAAAAGGTGGCTATCTCTTTTTTCTATAGAATGGGAGATTAAATAACATGATTATAGTATGATATATCAAAAATGTCTTATTACTTAATAAAAGCTGCACACTAGTCAGGAATTGCCAGTAATACAATGTACACTTACAACTTCCTGAGTGATCAACACCGTGTTCCTCTGTTCGTTTGTCACTAAGACATGGTTTGCTTTCAAGACAATCTCAATTTCACAGCGAGCATCAGCAGTCACAGGTCTCCATCGTCTCAGCACTGTTCCACTGTAGAAGAGAGATAATAGTTAAAAAAAACAGCTGCGACTGTCATACACATGTATATTTACATATATCCTCTTGTGGATAATTAAAAAAGATAAATCACACACTACATGTAGTATACAGAATAAAAGTTCATATAACACAACCAGTTTAATATTAGAATGGGACATTTCAATCACTACATGGTCACCTTTATCAGACAAATGATCACTGTGGAGCGTACACAGGATTATAGTGCAGCCAAAAGAGTTGGCCGATCCGTACCATCTCATACACTACACACGTCTGTGCTAGTACCCTCAACACTGGTCATTTGTCTGATGAAGGTGACCATGTAGTCATTGAAAATGTCACACTCTAATCTTCTACTATTTACATTACCAACCACAAGAAAATGTTTCAAAATACATGTTATATAAAACAGATAAAACTATTATTGCAAAAACTGTATATCTAAGTACAGCAGAGCTTCACTGGAGGTAAATCATTTGTTTGATGATATTGTCTCCTGTTGGATAAACATTGAAATACCCAAGAAAAATAAGTTTAGAACAAAATTTTCATTTTTCATTTTCTTCAAATGAATTCTTTCCACGGCTATTTAGTGTACATGTCTGTTGTACCTTAAGGAAGTACTTTTTCATTCAAAAGGAATTCCCCGATGATATATAATAGTATCTTACCAGATAATGACATCATCACCAGCCTTACAAATATCCACCAAGTCATCTTCCAGTGTGATCCACATAGATCGGGGTATGGTACCCACTGCTAGCTTCTGGACCTGTTCCTGTACCTTAATCTCCTGGTAGTTTCGACATTTCAGTGGCTGTGAACCTGATCAAGGTAGTAACAATTAGTTCTGTAGAATTTTGAACCAGTAAATACTGGTCTCAAGGTTTTCTGAAATGGGTGAGTCCCATCAAAATCTGTAAGACCCTCTCCCAATTAATGAGTCCCACACCAAACAGAGGAGTACCACACACAGTGTTCAACACTGAAATATGTTTATGTGTGATTATTACAAAGTCCAATTTTGAATGTGATATGTAGCAATGCACAAAATATAACTTAGCATTTTACTTCAGAGCTGTATCATGGAACAGATATATCTATACACAAATAATATAGCAATGTAAACAGTTCTATAGCTTAGAGTGACTACCCTTTAATGTCAAGTCTTCATATTTGACTTATTATGATGCTAAGCATTAACAACTTCTGGATGTAAATGTTTGTGAATAAGGATCAGTGATCCAGAGTCTGATCCCAGGAATTTCCTTTCATCAAAACACTCTACAAGTAACAACTAGAACTGTTGTCAGCCAGGATGGCCAAGTAATACCAATACCACTAACCCTTACCCATCTGATTACGAAGTCTCTTGAAAAAGGCACCATTGCAATTACCTTCCCTCAAAACCCTTATATATCAATTTTTATCTCAATCAGACAATATCTCAATTTCAACCAATCAGAAACCTCCATCATGTTTCCATAGTAATGGTTCTGGAAACACCAGAAGTGGCAAATCACATGCATTTAAAAGTTACACCACTTGACCAAACTTCAATGAAATTGATCAAAGGATTGCTGAGTTACAGCCATTACATAAAAACGTGTTTATAGATGCTTGTTACCATGGCACCCCAAATTTCTGCTTTGAAAAAAAACTGCAAGCACAACTGATCTTGGTTGTCAGCATTTCTGTTTAGTTTCATTGAAATTGCACCATATGTTTAGGTGTTGTCTAGACAATCTATAATTTAACGTGTTGTTAATTGCTATGTTTAATTTGTCAAACTACACACACCTGTATCACAGAGAGGAGAGAATGTGGTGGAGTTACAGATTTCATTGGTACATTTACTGGGTTTGGAAACTGCATAAAACTGCTCAAAATCTGCCTGAAAATAAAAAGTTGAAATATTTCAGTAAAAAGGATGACAAAAATTTGGAACAAATATTGTAACAGACATAAACACTGGTTAAGAAAGGACAGTTTTGATTTCATGAAACTGCAAAATACATGTATGTAGTACATGTGATTTATATTGTACAATATATAAAATAAACATCAATACTATAGCAAAACAAAATAAAAGAAGTTTACAGATGACAAAATTTCATGACAAGGTTACAAATACAAGATGATTTTGACTGGGAGATACAGAGTGACAATTCGTAAAAGTAGTGTGACAGCTATAAGTTTATCATCAAGGGGAGATAACTACAGGTGCAAACCGCTACTGGTAGGAATTTGAAGACCTACAACATTATCACCAAGGGGAGATAACTATATGCTGACAACATGTAAGGATAAGATGATAACTATTGCATGGTAAACAAAGGGATTGACTAAAGGGTGCCAATATTTGAAAACTTAAGTAAAGGATGACAATAAAAAGGAAATAACTATAGAGTGCCAGTTTTTGGACCTATATTATAAGATGATAACCAAAGGGAGATAATTATAGGGTGCCAATATTTGATAAGTATAATTCAGGATGGTAATCAAATGAAGACACATTAATTCCTATAAGAAATGATGCCGGTAAACATTGCAAGTATTTCCATGGTAATCATATATCTTAGACATAAAAATCAATGATATGTTAACTAGTAAAGAAACAAAACATGTGAGCTTGTTTGTGAAGTTTCAGGACACCGGAAGAAAAAACAAATTTGGCAGGGTGAGATTGTCCCTTTTTATGTAATTGTAAATCCTGATATCCCCATGTCAACTTGTCATGCAGGAATAATTATGGGTGACAATTAAAAGGAGAAATCTTTTTGTACTGACCCTAACAGAGATAACAGATCGACACTTAGTACAGATGTAATCTTTCTCAAACTCTAACATCTTCATCACAGTTGTGCGGATCACAGTACCTGTAGAAATGGAACATAAGTAGAATACTTCAAAGTTATTACAACTGTATGTAGACAGGTCACTACAGATCAACTGATCATTATCACTGTGGTTTTCTCCATTGGAAATAGCTAAGACACATATTTCTTCATAGTTCAAAGCAAGAGGGTACTGATTTATACCTCTAAGCAGACTTGAATAATCAATGTCTTTACCTTATATTAACAACCATGATATTTTTGGACAGGATTTAAATGTTACTTCTGCAATTATATCTTTGTTTTATAACTTATGCCGATATAAAAAAATCTTTAATCTTACTATACCTAGGCCACTCTGTCCTTTTACTTTAATGTTGTGAAATTTTTAATCCCAATGATAAAATTATTATTACTCCTAAAAAGCTTTTTTACATTACAGTGAAATCAGAGTCCATTACATATCATAAAGATATACTTGATTATATCTAGATCTTGTAAAAATAAACTTCTAATGAAAATATACTTGATAATATCTAGATCTTGTAAAAATAAACTTGACTATAACTATACATCATAGGAATATACTTATCTAGATCTTGTCAAAATAAACTTGATAATATCTAGATCTTTTCAAAATATACTTGATAATATCTAGATCTTGTCAAAATATACTTGATAATATCTAGATCTTGTCAAAATATACTTGATAATATCTAGATCTTGTCAAAATATACTTGATAATATCTAGATCTTGTCAAAATATACTTGATAATATCTAGATCTTGTCAAAATATACTTGATAATATCTAGATCTTGTCAAAATAAACTTGATAATATCTAGATCTTGTCAAAATAAACTTGATAATATCTAGATCTTGTCAAAATATACTTGATAATATCTAGATTTTGTACCAGATCTAGCTAGTTAAGGTCTAAGCAATAATCATGACATGTGTGTTAAAATCAAACAAATGAATTTTCTTACACCTCATAATACAAAACATTATCAGATTTATAAGCGATGAGATGAACTTGTTTTTACAAACACTTCCACATATATTATCTGGTACTATGAAAATGTCACAGCACAAGCTGTATTTGAATATTTACCATTAACAGATAAAAAACTGCCAACATCTGATGTCCGAGGCAAAGTTGTCCTGGTCAGCTCTGGACAGACAGGTAGTGACATCACTCGGCCATGAACATTTTTCTTTAGACTCTACAAGAACAACACATAGAACAACTTTATTTCTTATCTACAAACAAAAAATGATAATGGAATTTTTTGGATGAAATTTTGGAAATTCATGTGAAGAGCTGGTAAAGTCTATTAACTAGTACCTACCATTTGATGCTTTTCAGGATGTTTCTCCATCAGACAAGTCTGTGCCTCCACCAAGGCAGCATCAAAGATAGGAAGTAGCTTCTCAGACTGGGACAGGAGCATGTCACAAATTGACATGTCAATTTCAAACAAGGACAAAGCACTGAAAAAAACAAATATATATATAAATGTACATGAATTTAACTTATTTCAAACTGGGACAAAGCAATGATGTTGTGAAAACGTTAGCAGAATACATTTGTCGAGTTGGTTTTATTCTTTTCAAATAGATATACCTGTATATACATATATACCTGTATATATGTATGTACACGAATTTAACTGATTTTTTGGATGCAATTTAGATTCCAAAACACTGAATGTTGTTTGTCACTAAGGTGATATTCCCACTGGTGTCCACTGCTGACTATATAATGTATGACAGTAAAAGATTTTATTCTAAAGAAATTTGGTAACAAGCAGCTGATAATTACAATCACATGACAGTGATTGTTTGCCTTGTTTTGCAGCCTAGCAGAAAAACAGAGTCTTATTTTGTTTTTTTCCAAAGGAAAGCAAAATCCATGATTATTTTCCAAAATTTGTATAACGAAGAATGACATCTTTATTAGATAAATTTCATGTGTTATTTCAAATTGTTAGAGCTATAATGACAGTGCTTACTGAACAGAAATAGAGTAATGATCTTCATCATCTTCTTCCAATAAAATCTGGACAAGGTCTTCCATGTGGTTGTCCAATACATACTGCTGTAATGAATCTGGATGTAAAAACATTATTTATTAGTATTTAAAAATTAATTTCACACTAAGCCCAAAATAAGACTTTGATTAGAATTAACATTAACATTACAACATGCAGAATAAGGACATACTGGAGCATACAAAAGATATGAACATGAAAATAATTTATAAGTAACTTTAAAAAAGGCAATAGCAATTTTCCTTTCCAATCAGTTTCAAAAACAAACATTTTTTTTTCTTTGATCGAACCTAAAACTGAACACCAGGCCCCATACTTATACATCCATGTACAAATCTGCAATCCTTCAATTTCTTCTGGTGCAAGAAACATGGCCAAAAACAAAAAATCTAGGAAATGAGATGGGGTCCAGACACAATATAAAAAGACTTAATGTTGCATTTCAGTTCCATAATAAAATGTGCCCCCTGTAACCCGAAATCCTGTGTTTTATTATCTTCAAAATGTATAATGAACCGAGGAAGAGTTACCAGTAAAAGAATGTGTATGTTTATTCAGTCCATCAGCTCCGTTTTCCCAGGAATTTCGAAAAGCCTTTGAAGACTTAACAATGCTCTAATATAATTCAAAATTGCAATATTAATCAATGAAATAAACTGTCTGTAGACCGGTCAATGTACGTAACGTTATGCTGACAATAATCGATTACATATATAATGAAAATGAAAGTAGAAGTAGGCAATAGTTTTATAAGAGATAATTCATGTTTTACTAACTCTTCGTCTGTGTGATTTCATCAATACGTTCCAAATTCACGTTGTCCATGTCGATGTATGGGTACACACTTAAAAAAATGTCAAATTGTGTACATATTCTTCATCTTCATCAACAGTTGTTTACGTTATATGTCGTATCTCCCGCCATGTTTGTAATCAGCTCTCGCTGAAATATGAAGCGCGAGATGACACGAGAAACAAGATGGCGATGCCCATTGATAGAAGAATGGATGATATTTGACAGATGATATTTTTATGTAAACTGTTTAATTAGTGTGCTTTTAAGCAGAAATCATGAAGACGGTATTGATGGTGGCTGAAAAGCCATCGTTGGCTCAGTCAATAGCCAAAATATTGTCCAATGGCCAAATGAACAGCCGGAAAGGGTCGAACGGAGCTTGCTCGGTACACGAGTACAGGGGTGTTTTCCCACCGACTAGAGAGAATGTATTTTACAAGATGACATCAGTCTGCGGTCATGTGTTTGGTTTGGATTTCATGGGGAAATACAACAACTGGGATCGTGTTGATCCTGTAAGACACCTATCATCCACGATATACCTTTAATGCAATTTAGAAAAACATAAACATACACAGATACCTGTTTTCACGTTAGGTTTAGGGTTAAGTTTCCCAATTAAATATACCATTTACAGCAATAGAGCAATCCTCAATTAGTTTGACAGTAACATGAGTCAGGCAATGCATGGAAAGAACGAAGTTTTGTATGCCTCATTGACGTCCTGTTGGAAGTATAAGGAAAAACAAGATATACCGAAATGTTGGTTGACTGGTTAGTTCTTCGCGTTTGATGTGCATAATGCACGTGATCGATCGTGCAATTCATGTGACATTTACGTTTTGTGTGCTTGTATATATGTTGTGACGTCATGATATTATGTAAATGTCATAAGTACTCTGTTAAATCAGAATCATAGCCATATAACAATACAAAATGTTGGACACCAGAATAGTGCAGTTCCTTCAGGAACTCTCCATTATATTACCATGTTCATCCTCAAAAAACACCTTCCCCTAGTGTTAAAAATTAGATTAGTATTTAAGTTGTAGAAGTCCTTATTTGTGAACTTCTTTTAGCTTACAATTCTTAATTTGATGTTTGTACAAAGATGGAGTTTTACAGGGGTAAAATGATTATATTGTTTCAGGTTGAACTGTTCAGTGCACCCACCACAAAGAAAGAGGCAACTGAAAAGTTAAAGATGCCAGCATTTCTGTCAAAAGAGGTACATTTTATGAATGAAGCAAAATAGCACTTAAGGCAATAGATATAAGTAATATTTGAAGACAGACAAAATTTATTGATATTTCAGTTATTAAAGATGACATATTGCAATAAGGATGATCTGCATAAAATTTCTTAGAATCCTACATGTCTTGTTTTTTTAATGTGGAATGTCTCTCCTGCCAAACAGGCACGTGGAGCAGATTATGTGGTGCTATGGTTAGATTGTGACAAGGAGGGTGAGAACATTTGCTTTGAGGTGCTGGACTGTATTGATAATTCGATGAACAGAGGAACAGGACAGGTGATATTTACTTTCCTCATTTATTGTTTTGTTTCTATTTGAACAAAATGTGTAAAATATTTTAAATGACTGATAAAGGAACACAATAATGTATATTTGTGGACATAGTTCTTGCCATTATGAGCTGTTTGAGGATACTGGATCTGAAAATGGAAAGTGACTTTATTATGAAACCACAGATTTATATATACAATAGAACTGATCAATTCAGAATCCATATGGTTCATTAGTCTAGAAAACACTTCTTTTTTGCTGCAACAGTTGGTCAAGAGAACTTATAGTTAGGAAGATGTTCAGTAAAATCTCTCTATAACAAACTCATACTATGTACATACATTGATACCCTACTGATCTTAGAGTAATCTGAGCTCTTCAAAGCCTTCTGAACAGAATTTTTTTATCTTGTTTCACTCTTGCATTGTTTTTCCAAAAAATGGCTGCATCATATTCTAGTTGTCAGATTTAATTATTTGATGTATTTTCACAGACCGTGTTCAGGTCAAAGTTCAGTGCCATCACCGACAGAGACATCAAAGAGGCCATGAACAAACTAGTGAGTCCCAATAAAAATGAGGCATTGTCAGTGGATGCTCGCCAAGAAATGGACCTCAGAATTGGTTGTGCTTTCACCAGGTTCCAAACTAAGTTTTTTCAGGTAGGATTTAAAGGATTGTATTTAATATTCTATTTGTGACCCTATTGAGATTGTGGCTCTGCCTCCTATAAATATTTCTTATTTTCTAATGCACATTTTTTCATGTAAATGTACTTAATACATAATAAATTGGAACAAAGGTGTTTAAACAAATCATCATTTATCAAGTCTACGTATTTGTGTTGATCTCATTTCAGGGAAAGTATGGTGACCTAGACAGTACCTTGATATCATATGGGCCATGTCAGACTCCCACGTTAGGCTTCTGTGTGGACAGACATGATAAGATTCAATCCTTCAAACCAGAGCCCTACTGGGTCATACATGTGCAGGTGAGGTCCGAAAATAATCACACTTTCAAACTAAGACATAATTTGCAGGTAAGGTCAAAATGCAGAAAAAATACATCTTTCAAATCAGCTCAGCTTAGTTACGTATGTGTAACTAGTGTCAAATAACTCCCACCTTCCCTAATCATTTGAGAGCTGAATGACAGTAGCTTTGCCTTTGATACAATGCTTTCCATATGGCTTAATAACATTGTTTTGGTTAAGATAAATGGTGATTTCTGTACCATTCCCATCCAACACAACTGTTTAGCTATGTTTTACATCTGTAGACTTTTTTTTTATAAATATACATATGATACCACCAGGAATGTGAGTATTTTTTATTTTTTTATTATTTTTTTTTATCATTTTTTTTTTTTTAATTTTTTTCCATAGGTTCATGCTCCTCCACTTTATTACATTGGGGCATACATTGTTACCTATGTTTGTCTCTCTCATCAGATCTGGTTACTATTTACCCCCATGTATTATAGCATCAAGCTCTAATCCTGCTCCTATTCTGGTGCATTGGACCTGGGAAATAATTGTCTTATTGACATAGTTATATAACTTTATAAAAGTGGTTTTACCAGGAATAAGAGTTTTCATTTTGTGGTTTTGAAAAGATTCTTTGGGACTATTGAAGGAAATTTTTTTCGAAATGTTCTGGATATACATGTATCTGATACATTGAATAATCAGTTGTTGCAATAGATGGATAAATTTTTGACCTTGTAACAAGGGAAATTATTTTTTAATAGACTGAAGATATTTTGTGTCATATTTCTGATATCTTTTCATGTAACAGGTGGCTCACCCTGGTGGTAGAACAATTAGCCTCGACTGGGACAGAGTTCGAATATTTGACAAGGAGGTGGCACAAATGTTTGTCAACATGATCAAAGGTGTAGACTCGGCCAGGTACTGTATATATAAGACAGAATTGTGTGTTTATTTAGTCCTCTCTCTGACCAAAAGAAATATCATGGGAGGAAATGGTCAAATTATAATTATATTGCTTTGAATGTGTTGATGTAACAATGCTTTGAGATTATTATTTTAACGTTTAGCACGTGTTAAACCTGAAGCTCACCATTATCAGATCTTACTGCTTTCAAATACCACAGGTTCTACTCTAGAATTTCTGTAGAATTTCTTAGGGGTCATCTTCTGAATTCTATAAATCCAAATTACAAGTCAAGATTTCAAATATAAGCACAGGTATCACGCAACACATACCCAAAAATAACTATTTACATTGTACAATACCGACTTTCATTCCCTAGTTTCAAATGAGGTACATTGAATTAATTTTTGTAAGTTTGGGGCCCTGGAATCAGTGTATTAAGCTATATACGTCCCTTCATAGGGGAGCTCTCTTGAAATGAGTTCTGCAATATTAGCTGTTAAATAATTTAGCTTCAGTTTCCTATATATTTTTCATTTATCTGATTAGAGTTCTGAGAGTTGTTCAAGAAGAGAAGTTTAAAAGCCGTCCAATAGCCCTGAACACAGTTGAAATGTTACGTGCTGCCAGCTCAGGATTAGGTATGTATCTATAATGATTTAGATTGATAAGTTAACTGGTGCGAGGTTAAATATAATTACAGCTTGCATACTTACCCTGCATGATATAGTAGAATCATTTATCCTTGTATATATCTGTAAAACAAAATTCACCATAAATTATCATAAAATTGGCATTCTTACGACATACTGAAATCAATCTCTTTTATAAATCCTGCTCTGTTCAACATAAAATTAACAGCTGTATGTAACATGTATTTAATCTCCACACTGCTTTCTTAGAATCAATATCCACACTATTCCCTCCTAGAATCAATATCCACACTATTCCCTCCTAGAATCAATATCCACACTATTCCCTCCTAGAATAAATATCCACACTATTCCCTTCTAGAATCAATCTCCACACTATTCCCTCCTAGAATCAATCTCCACACTATTCCCTCCTAGAATAGATATCCACACTATTCCCTCCTAGAATCAATCTCCACACTATTCCCTCCTAGAACCAATATCCACACTATTCCCTTCTAGAATCAATCTCCACACTATTCCCTCCTAGAATCAATCTCCACACTATTCCCTCCTAGAATAAATATCAACTCTATTCCCTCCTAGAATCAATATCCACACTATTTCCTCCTAGAATCAATATCCACACTATTCCCTTCTAGAATCAATCTCCACACTATTCCCTCCTAGAATCAATCTCCACACTATTCCCTCCTAGAATCGATATCCACACTATTCCCTCCTAGAATCACATTATTCCCTCCTAGAATCAATATCCACACTATTCCCTCCTAGAATCAATATCCACACTAATCCCTCCTAGAATCAATATCCACTCTATTTCCTCTTAGAGACAATATCCACACTATTCCCTCTTAGAATCAATCTCCACACTCTTCCCTCCTAGAATCAATATCCACACTATTCCCTCTTAGAGTCAATATCCACACTATTCCCTCTTAGAATCAATCTCCACACTAATCCCTCTTAGAGTCAATATCCTCACTAATCCCTCCTAGAATAAATATCCACACTATTTCCTCCTAGTATCAATATCCACACTATTCCCTCCTAGAATCGATATCCTCACTATTCCCTCCTAGAATCAATATCCTCACTATACCCTCCTAGAATAAATATCCTCACTCTTCCCTCCTAGAATAAATATCCACATTATTCCCTCCTAGAATCAATATCCACACTATTCCCTCCTAGAATCAATATCCACACTATTCCCTCCTAGAATAAATATCCTCACTATTCCCTCCTAGAATAAATATCCACATTATTCCCTCCTAGAATCAATATCCACACTAATCCCTCTTAGAGTCAATATCCACACTATTCCCTCCTAGAATCAATATCCACACTAATCCCTCTTAGAGTCAATATCCACACTATTCCCTCCTAGAATCAATATCCACACTATTCCCTCCTAGAATCAATATCCACACTTTTCCCTCCTAGAATAAATATCCACACTATTCCCTCCTAGAATCAATATCCACACTAATCCACACTAATCCCTCTTAGAGTCAATATCCACACTATTTCCTCCTAGTATCAATATCCACTCTATTCCCTCCTAGAATAAATATCCACACTTTTCCCTCCTAAAATCAATATCCACACTATTCCCTCCTAGAATCAATATGCACACTAATCCCTCTTAGAGTCAATATCCACACTATTCCCTCCTAGAATCAATATCCACACTAATCCCTCTTAGAGTCAATATCCACACTATTTCAACCTAGAATTAGTCTATACAGTTGGTCCTTCCAGAATTAACTTTATCCATATAAGTATCTGTGTTCCTGTTGGCAGGTATGGGTCCACAGCATACCATGCAGATTGCAGAGAGGTTGTACACACAGGGCTACATAAGCTATCCAAGAACCGAGACCACACAATACCCAGATAACTTTGACCTTAAGTAAGCTTGATAGTGCAATTGAACACAAAGTTATAATCTCAGCACCGTGAAATGTGAACAAAAAGTGTAAATCTCTCATTAGATAATCAGTCTCATCACACAAGAATAAGTCTCTTGATGTCTCCAATAATTTCATTGAGACATAACACTATTAATCTCCAGGCAATCTTAAATACAATAGAAAGAAGAGAATAGAAGAGACAACATCTAACTGTTAAAGAAAGATAAAATATTGGTGGGTGCCGAGATTCCTCTAAGATCTTTTGTCAATGTTATTGTTGAATTTGATGTGATGTTTACTTCCAATTCATGTGTATATCTTGATAATTCTTACTAATGACAGAATTTGAGATATTATGTTTTATTTTATCTGTTGTAGAGGAACACTGAAACAGCAACAGTCCAACTCTTTATGGGGCAGTATTGTGTCTGATCTACTCAACACCGGTATACAGAAACCAAAGTGAGTTGGTGTCACAAAATATTCCAAGGAATATTAAGTCAAACATTGTATACAGAAACCAGAGTGAGTTGGTGTCACAAAATATATCTGTTCCCAAGAATATTAAGTTAAACATTGCATACAGAAACCAAAGTGAGTTGGTGTCACAAGATAGATCTGTTACATAGAATATTAAGTTAAACATTGTATACAGAACCCAAAGTAAGAAATATAGAAAAAATATTTCAAATGTATTTATTTAAATTTTCAAATATACATAATATGTGATACAGTACCATTATTTTACTGTCTAGTCTAACAAACACTGAAACATTTCTGACAAAATGTGTATACAGATATATATCTGTGTCTTGGGGAAAAAGAAACTTTGAATTTGTTATACATGTTATTGTTAAGGCTGTTAATTTTTTGAGGCTAGTATAAAATCATGAAAAATAGATACCATGTACACTTTGAAAACAAAATAAAAAAAACCACTTCCACAAAATTGATTTAATTTGTCACAGGCCTAGAAGTTGATAGCTAATATTACATTGATGCTAATACAAACTTCTGTGTTAAAAATTCTTTGGGAAAAATGTCGTAGAATTTTACAATTATTGAATGAAATTAGTGATTTTTGGGAGTAAAATGATTCAACACTGGACCACTGAAGTAAACATATCTTCCTCTGCTTACATTTTATGAATATCTTACCCATTTAAGAGATTACACACTTTTTAACAGAAAAGGATCAGATGCTGGTGACCATCCACCCATCACACCAATGAGGCCTGCTACAGAGGCTGAGCTAGGCCATGACGCCTGGCGACTGTATGATTTCATCACCAGACACTTCATAGCCACAGTAAGTACAGGGTCACTTCAGAAACTTACAGCATTTACATTGGAATGGAAAGGCCTGTTATGAAATCAAGCATATTATAGTCATGAATTTGCTGTTTGTATGAAATCATCAATACATTTGTATTACTCAAAAGTTCAAAATAATGCCACACAAGTATCACCAACAAACTTCCTCTATGGGGTCAGTTTTTATGCTAGGATGATTAATTGTACCTATGCTGAGGTCAGTAATTGTACCTATGATGGGGTCACTAATTGTACCTATGCTGAGGTCAGTAATTGTACATATGCTGGGGTCGGTTATTGTACCTATGCTGAGGTCAGTAATTGTACCTATGATGGGGTCACTAATTGTACCTATGCTGAGGTCAGTAATTGTACCTATGATGGGGTCAGTAATTGTACCTATGATGGGGTCAGTAATTGTACCTATGATGGGGTCAGTAATTGTACCTATGATGGGGTCACTAATTGTACCTATGCTGAGGTCAGTAATTGTACCTATGATGGGGTCACTAATTGTACCTATGCTGAGGTCAGTAATTGTACCTATGATGGGGTCAGTAATTGTACCTATGATGGGGTCAGTAATTGTACCTATGATGGGGTCAGTAATTGTACCTATGATGGGGTCACTAATTGTACCTATGCTGAGGTCAGTAATTGTACCTATGATGGGGTCACTAATTGTACCTATGCTGAGGTCAGTAATTGTACCTATGATGGGGTCAGTAATTGTACCTATGATGGGGTCAGTAATTGTACCTATGATGGGGTCAGTAATTGTACCTATGATGGGGTCACTAATTGTACCTATGCTGAGGTCAGTAATTGTACCTATGATGGGGTCGGTTATTGTACCTATGCTGAGGTCAGTAATTGTACCTATGATGGGGTCGGTTATTGTACCTATGCTGAGGTCAGTAATTGTACCTATGCTGGGGTCAGTAATTGTACCTATGATGGGGTCAGTAATTGTACCTATGATGGGGTCAGTAATTGTACCTATGATGGGGTCAGTAATTGTACCTATGATGGGGTCACTAATTGTACCTATGCTGAGGTCAGTAATTGTACCTATGATGGGGTCAGTAATTGTACCTATGCTGAGGTCGGTTATTGTACCTATGATGGGGTCGGTTATTGTACCTATGATGGGGTCAGTAATTGTACCTATGATGGGGTCACTAATTGTACCTATGCTGAGGTCAGTAATTGTACCTATGCTGGGGTCAGTAATTGTACATATGCTGAGGTCAGTAATTGTACCTATGCTGGGGTCAGTAATTGTACCTATGCTGGGGTCAGTAATTGTACCTATGCTGAGGTCAGTAATTGTACCTATGCTGGGGTCAGTAATTGTACCTATGATGGGGTCACTAATTGTACCTATGCTGAGGTCAGTAATTGTACCTATGCTGGGGTCAGTAATTGTACATATGCTGAGGTCAGTAATTGTACCTATGCTGAGGTCAGTAATTGTACCTATGCTGGGGTCAGTAATTGTACCTATGCTGAGGTCAGTAATTGTACCTATGCTGGGGTCAGTAATTGTACATATGCTGAGGTCAGTAATTGTACCTATGATGGGGTCACTAATTGTACATATGCTGGTGTCGGTTATTGTACCTATGATGGGGTCAGTAATTGTACCTATGATGGGGTCAGTAATTGTACCTATGATGGGGTCAGTAATTGTACCTATGATGGGGTCACTAATTGTACCTATGCTGAGGTCAGTAATTGTACCTATGCTGGGGTCAGTAATTGTACATATGCTGAGGTCAGTAATTGTACCTATGCTGGGGTCAGTAATTGTACATATGCTGGTGTCGGTTATTGTACCTATGATGGGGTCAGTAATTGTACCTATGATGGGGTCAGTAATTGTACCTATGATGGGGTCAGTAATTGTACCTATGATGGGGTCAGTAATTGTACCTATGATGGGGTCAGTAATTGTACCTATGATGGGGTCAGTAATTGCACCTATGATGGGGTCAGTAATTGTACCTATGATGAGGTCAGTAATTGCACCTATGATGGGGTCAGTAATTGTACCTATGATGGGGTCAGTAATTGTACCTATGATGGGGTCAGTAATTGTACCTATGCTTGGATCGTTAACTGGTAATTTCAGCTATCAGTAATTGTGTTTCCAGCTTAGTCGAGACATGAAGTACCTGCAAACCACTGTGTACATAGAGATTGGAGCAGAGAAATTTACTTGTAGTGGTAAAGTGGTGCTAGATCCAGGCTTCACAAGCATTCTGACATGGAAGTCTGCTGATGAGGAATCACTGCCAGAGTTCAAAAAGGATCAGAATCTCACTGTCAATGATGTAAGTTAAACTAATCGTCTTTATTTTCAGAAGGTTATGAATAAGATAAATTCATTCTCTTCAACCGAATCTAAATCAATATTCAGCAACACATTTGTATATTCAGTTCTGAAGACTATCCATCAACAGATGTTATAAATGTGGTATAAGATATAAATTGATAGTAACACTACTTTGTTGACACAACCTGTGAAATGTATGTGTTCTTATATAGGTGAAGTTAGTGGATCGTCAGACATCTCCACCAGATTACCTGACTGAAAGTGAGCTTATAACATTGATGGAGAAGCATGGTATCGGGACAGATGCCAGCATTCCTGTGCACATCAACAACATCTGTGAAAGGAATTATGTGAGCATCATAGGTGGTCGTAAACTCAAACCCACAGCACTTGGCATTGTATTGGTGCATGGATATCAAAAGGTAAGTGTTCGTTGTTGTAAATTCAAACCCTCAACACTCCGGATTGTACTGATTCACTGATATCAAAACATAGATATATAGGATTGTAAACTCAAACCCGAATGTTACTATTTTCCCTCAATTCCATGAATAAGTATTTGATTTGAGTATACAGGACACTATGATGAATTATGTACCAAAAATGAATGATGTACAGAAAAAGACCTTCATTTAGCAGTACAAATTACATCCATAATATTTTTGCAGTCAAAATTTTTGAAATTCGCTGTACACAGTAATTGGCAGTAACTCTTCCAACAGTACTGACCCAGTATGATATACGTATCTTTGACAGATTGATGCTGAGCTGGTACTCCCATCTATGCGGTCAGCATTAGAAAAGCAGTTGAACCTGATAGCAGCTGGAAAGGCAAACTATGAAGAAGTGCTCCACCACGGAATCAGTATCTTTTGTCTCAAATTCAAGTACTTTGTGGAGAGTATTCCCGGCATGGACGAGTTATTTGAGGTGACCTTTTCACCTCTTGCTGCTAGTGGAAAACCACTGTCAAGGTACTCAAAGAACATGGTCAGGTTTACATAGGAGTGTGTGCATTCATTTATCACACCATTGAAAACAATATCTTTTGTTGGAAGTTCAGATTTTAGAATTTAAGACTTACTCCTGTCATGGAGAAAGATTGGATACTTTGTAGTATATTTATCTGGTTTGTCAGACATGAATCGAAAATATTATTTGTAATTAACTGGATAACATTCTCATACACATAGCATAAGTCCCTTGCCTGGTAACATACTAGCCCCACAGTGGTGATGTAGATATAGTTTGATTGGAGGAAATGCTATCAATTGCGGTCTAATTATAGCATTCTGATATGTTGTTCCCATGGCAGTAAATCACCACAATTTTTAAAAAAGAAATGTTTGCAAGGTTTTGTCTTTTCATAAAATGAACAGTAGGTTAGTTAAATTTTTTAAGTTGACCACTTCTATATGGAATATCATGATTCAAATTTTCAAAAGTTTGAAGCATAAAAAAGACATAAATTACTGATATCATGGAACAGACTATTCACTTTTTATACATTTCATTGCTAAGGTATTTATTTTGTCTGATTTTTTTTTACTCCTCAAAAATAGCAAAATAATGAGAATTACTTGAATCATGTGTAACAACATGTGTAGTATACAGATAAGAACACAGTAGCTCCAGTGACTTATTCAATGATACACTGGCTAAATGAGGCTCTCTAGGCTTCATGCTATGAATGATAAGGCTGATACAGCTTGTCAAGGGTACTTTGTATATGTTATTGGTGATTGAGAATATTGGCTTCACTTTAACAGATGTGGTAAATGTCGACGATTCATGAAGTTCGTGCAGGCCAAGCCTTCTCGTCTACATTGCTCAAATTGTGATGAGACATTCAGCCTCCCTCAGAATGGTAGCATAAAGCTGTACAAGGAGATAAAATGTCCATTAGATGACTTTGAATTGGTGCTGTGGACCACAGGTGTCAAAGGAAAGGTAATACAGTCATATATTTTCCTGTTTCCATCCCTTTACTTTGAAAATAGATTTTTAATGTATATGAAGAAATATTCACCTTGTGTATCTTTAGCCCTCATATGAAATTCTGCATTTTTGCCAAATATTATCTAGATAGGATGCATAAAAAACACATCTTTATTGTATTGCCATAATGAGTAATGATTTTATGATAGTGGACACCAAGATCCCTCTTGAACGTTTAATTTAATGTACCAGTTAACCATTTAATGTATATACTTCTGTCAATGTAAAATAGCAAATAAATTGATAATGCTGTAGCCAGGTTCTTTAATCAAATATGTGATATTTTTCAGAGCTTTCCACTTTGTCCCTACTGTTTCAATAACCCCCCATTTAAGGACATGAGGAAGAACTATGGATGCAATGAGTGTACCCACCCGAGCTGTCAACACAGTCTGTCTCAGAATGGTGTATCAGAGTGTGTGGAGTGTGAGAACGGTGTTCTGGTACTCGACCCCACCTCCAGCCCTAAATGGAGGATGGCCTGTAACAAGTAGGTATCAATAGAAACCCTCATATAGGAGAATGTTTCCTAGTCTTTCACAAAACAACTAAACCATTGCTTTTTCATCATTTTATCATCTTAACACTTGGTGATCAATTATTTCATAGAATGTGTTAAATTCATTACATCTACACTACAGCTCTCTCACTCTGACCTACTTTTTGACCTTTGACCTACATCAAAGAAGAGTTTGTCTGGGCTCTTCCTCCTACATTGCTTTTCACTAAAATTTCATACCATGGATATGGGTTGACTTTGGTGAGGCAGTTAACATGTATCAAAAGTTAGTCACTCTGACTTACATTCTTACCTTTGACTCTATATCAAAGAAAATGTTGTCGAGTATCTGTCTCCTACACCTATGGTCACTGAAATTTCATATTTTGTTCTTGGTTGACCTTTGTAAATCGGTATGATCAAAATCAGGTCACATTTTGATCTTTAATTTAGAACAAATAAAAAGTTTGTCCCAGCACTATTTTCTACATTCCTAGTAACTGGAGCTTCATACTTTGGGTATAGTTTCACCTTGAAGAGGCAGTGTGTTGGTTGGGGACTGTAATTCACCAGATATTTTTGTTATTTAATTATTAAATTATCATAACTTTTCATTTAGAATTATTTTGAAATTAACATAGGGACCAAAAAGATTTTTCAGATTGTTTTCGTCAGTATGAATGTGAGGGTGACAAATATACAAGATTTTTTTTTCATCAAGATCACATTTACATTGATGATAACATTATATAATGAATACAATCTCATGTTATAATTAAGATTGTTTATCTAGTATATTGATTGGCTGAAAGAGTTTACTGAAAATCATATTCATTTTAAACTATAATGAGTGTTACCAGAGGCAAAGCATTGTTGTGACACAGGTCAATATGGTGTCATTTCATTGTCTCGTGCTCTGGAATTTATATATGCTCTCATGAATTCACATTAACACTGAAAGGCCATGATACAAACTTAGAATAGGTCTTTTTAACCTGGTATATAAAACCATCTTGTTTGTGTAAAAACACTATGTCACAGTAAATATGAGGTCAAAGAATCCAGGTTTCTGCTTTTACACAGTAGGTTCACCACAGCCTTGGTTAAAATACAACCTTCACTGTTGATATTTGTACACACATTATCAATAATGTGATTAAGATGAACACAAATTATGCACGTTGGTAAAATCATATACATGTTTGCCTGGCTAAATATAGTTCAATAAATCTACTTATACCAATTTTAACATTTTAAGACATAAATTTGTTGATTAAGAGGTCCCATGGAGTCAAACATTTTTATCTCAAACACTAGATTTTAGTTTTCAACATTTGACCTTAGTGTCAGTTACAGTCTAGCCTTTGTAATGTCAAGGCTTGAAAACAATCTATGAAACTTATCTAGAATGATACTTTATTACCCATTACTTATAATTCTTTGTGCAGAATAGAAAATTCAGGTGAAAAAACGAAAAGGCCGACTTCAATTTTTTTTTAAATGAGTTAATTTTCCAAGTATAAAATGATTGTCTGTTACAAATAACAAAGTTTAATTACTGTACACAGAGGAATCATTCATAGAGCTGTCAACACATTATTTCTTGTTGTTATTGCAGATGTAATGTGGTGCTGCATTTCTTTGAGAATGCCCATCGTGTGTCCGTGTCCGAGGATACTTGTGATGACTGTGGCTCTCACATAGTCAACGTAGACTTCAGCAAGGTACCTATTATCTATCACATTAGGATTTTGTTGCTGTAAGCTATATCTTTTATGCTTTCAAATATTATTTATATATTTTTTTCAGAAATTGTCATGGTTTCTTTGTCAATTTCCCTGATGCTCACAGAAACTATTCTGTTGACACTTTAAAATCATTATACCACCTTCAAAAAGTGCTTCCAGCTTTATAGAATTTCTATTCACACTAATATAGTAAACCAGATTTTGATTTTTTTTTTTTTTTTAAATACTTTCAAGGAATTTTTGAATTTATGAACAATTTTCAACATTGGAGATGCTGATAGAGTTACCTTCTGTTTTAGAGGTTAAAATATCTAATATATCCTTTAAGCACAACAGATGTTCCCTGTAATAAGAATTATAATTCGTTTTTAGACATCCCATCCAACTTGGGATAAATATTTTACAGTTGTAAGACTACCATGATCTTTGATTTTTTTAATGATAAAATCAGAGTAGCTATAAATCAGATAATAAGACTGTGCCAAATCATAATTTCTCTATGAATAAAATAAATGTTAACATTATTTTAACAGAAGGAGGTCAGACTACAAATCAGATGCTATTTTTTTTGTTAATTTTAAAAACAATTTTTTTTTAATTCAAACTCTGTCAAAGTTTTTAAATAATGTATTTCCTGACATTTTTTTAAAAGATATAAATATATATCTATATTAATTAGTTAAGCAAGGTAGTGTGAGGATACAATATATAGACAAATGAAGGAAGGTGATAACTAAAAACGGCTTATATCAATTTGTCAAATTTCAGGGTAAAACACCGCTGGCTGATGGAAATACTGAGCATTCTGGCTGTGTGTTCTGTGACAATGTGTTCAAACCAATGGTGGAGAAACATCATGCAGTGATGAAGCGTAGAGGGGGGAGAGGAAGGGGTCGAGGGGGAAGAGGCAGAGGAAGGGGAAGGGGCAGGGGTAAACCGAAGGACAAGATGGCAGCACTTGCAGCATACTTCGTGTGAAACATAGACAGTAATACTTAGTGTTCAGAACTGAATTGAAATTGTTATTTTGTACTTTAGATTTTTTAACCAGCTGAAATATCTGCAATATTAGAAATACTCAACGTAGATCTAATTTTTTAGTGAACTGCAAGTTCTGTACCTTTTTAATGTAGAGCAGTCATTAAAAATGCACTTAAAGCTAGAAGAGCAAGAATTTGTTCCAATTTTTTACCACAATTTGTACTGCAGTAAATTTTGAAGTTTTTAAAATGCATTTGAAATATAAATATGACAGATTCTCATTAAAATGTCTTCATTTGTGGTACATGTGTGGATATCTGTGGCTTTCTCAGAAAACAGATCACAGACTATCCTGTGCTGTTATGGCTGTGTCGTTGGTCATCAGTCCAAAAAACAATATTCATACCGACTTTGATATCAACCTTTGTAAACTGGCCTAATATCTGCCAGTTGTCTCTTTTCAACAAAAGACACAACAGTTTTACTCTGCCACGAAGGGTACACCACTGTAACAATGAAATACCTCTGCCATGAAGGACTGGACACTGTACTGTACCAATGAAGTACCTCTGCCATGAAGGACTGGACACTGTACTGTACCAATGAAGTACCTCTGCCATGAAGGACTGGACACTGCACTGTGACAATGAAGTACCTCTGCCATGAAGGGTACACCACTGTAACAATGAAATACCTTTGCCATGAAGGACTAGACACTGTACTGTACCAATGAAGTACCTCTGCCATGAAGGACTGGACACTGTACTGTACCAATGAAGTACCTCTGCCATGAAGGACTGGACACTGCACTGTGACAATGAAGTACCTCTGCCATGAAGGGTACACCACTGTAACAATGAAATACCTTTGCCATGAAGGACTAGACACTGTACTGTACCAATGAAGTACCTCTGCCATGAAGGACTAGACACTGTACTGTACCAATGAAGTACCTCTGCCATGAAGGACTGGACACTACTGTACCAATGAAGTACCTCTGCCATGAAGGACTGGACACTGCACTGTACCAATGAAGTACCTCTGCCATGAAGGACTGGACACTGTACTATACCAATGAAGTACCTCTGCCATGAAGGACTGGACACTGTACTGTACCAATGAAGTACCTCTGCCATGAAGGACTGGACACTGCACTGTGACAATGAAGTACCTCTGCCATGAAGGGTACACCACTGTAACAATGAAATACCTTTGCCATGAAGGACTAAACACTGTACTGTACCAATGAAGTACCTCTGCCATGAAGGACTGGACACTACTATACCAATGAAGTACCTCTGCCATGAAGGACTGGACACTGCACTGTACCAATGAAGTACCTCTGCCATGAAGGACTGGACACTGTACTATACCAATGAAGTACCTCTGCCATGAAGGACTGGACACGGCACTGTGACAATGAAGTACCTCTGCCATGAAGGGTACACCACTGTAACAATGAAATACCTTTGCCATGAAGGACTAGACACTGTACTGTACCAATGAAGTACCTCTGCCATGAAGGACTAGACACTGTACTGTACCAATGAAGTACCTCTGCCATGAAGGACTGGACACTACTGTACCAATGAAGTACCTCTGCCATGAAGGACTGGACACTGCACTGTACCAATGAAGTACCTCTGCCATGAAGGACTGGACACTGTACTATACCAATGAAGTACCTCTGCCATGAAGGACTGGACACTGTACTGTACCAATGAAGTACCTCTGCCATAAAGGACTGGACACTGCACTGTGACAATGAAGTACCTCTGCCATGAAGGGTACACCACTGTAACAATGAAATACCTTTGCCATGAAGGACTAAACACTGTACTGTACCAATGAAGTACCTCTGCCATGAAGGACTGGACACTACTATACCAATGAAGTACCTCTGCCATGAAGGACTGGACACTGTACTGTACCAATAAAGTACCTCTGCCATGAAGGACTTGACACTCCACTGTACTAAAGAAATACTTCTGCAATGGACTGGTTGCTACACTGTACCTATGAAGTACCTTGACCATGAAGAACGTGACACTCCAATGTACTGATGAAGCACCTCTGCCATGAAGGACTGGACACTGCACTGTACCAATGAAGTACCTCTGCCATGAAGGGATGGATACTATACTGTACCAATGAAGTACCTCTGCCATGGACATTCCACTGAATGAAGTACCTCTGCCATGAAGGGCACTTCACTGTACCAAGGAATTAACTTTTCCTTGAAGGATACTATGATAACAATCTTTCTTTGTCCGAAGATGTGATGGCCATCTGTCTGCCATTGTTTTCCATATCAGTCAAAATCAACAGGACACAACTAGAGACCAACAAGACTCCTTTATATAAAAATTTGAGAAATATTCATCCAATACTTTCAAATAGTGTAAACAAACTTTCATTGTCAAATCCAAGGTTGTTTGGTGCCATTTTGCTTCCATCATGTCCCAAAATTGAAATTGGAATCTACATAACTTAAGATATCCCAATGGGATGTTGGCACCAACCATTATTTGATATTTATTTGTTCTGTAAAAGTTGGATATTTTCCCTTCTTTTCTGTCCTGTTTTTGCTTTTAATTTTACAAAATTTGACCATTCCTCTAAAGAGACAAACTTTCTTCGTCAAAATCCATGACGGCTGCATGTCGACCATATAGTTTTAATGATCAGTCCCAAAACCAAACGGGCACAAATTGGGACATAGAAATGAAATAAGAAAAAGATCCATCCAGTACTTCTCAATAAATAACGATGACAAAAAATGTTTACGAACCAAAGATGAAGGGGCTAATGGAAATTTTGACAGAAATCTGCAAAGTATTTCTCACAAAATTGTGACTATAAATTTTTGGTCAAAATTGTTTTTCTGATCAGTCTCAAAATTAAAAAGCACAAATATGGACTAAGGGGAACCTACATGTGAAATTTGAGAAAGATCTATCCAATTCTTTTGTAGTGACGAGTCATATATATTGTTATACAGTGGGACAAACTTTATCACAATTTGAATTATAGCTCTTTGCAGACTTTTTACCTTTGGATGTTGTGAACACATTTGTAATAACATTTTGATGAAAATTTGTATGTAGTCTTACATCAATAATATATTGTCAGTGTATGACAATGGGATCTTATTCGTTATTTACAGAGTGATGTCCCCTGCAGTTTCATTACCATCAACCTCATGAAAAACATTAAATAAAGACTTCCATTAAACTCTATATGCAGCCTTATATCAATTAAATCTTGGAATATATTCAACCATTAATTGATTTTAGTAAACATGAAAAGATTGTCATGAAACTTAGTATGCAGCCGTTGTATGAAGATCTTGGATAAATTCAACATTGTTATATAGCTCTTTGCAGTTATCTTCAGTCGAGATTAGTCAGGCGACCAATGAGGCCTATGGACAGGTTATTGCAATAGCCTTTGGTCTCAAGTCATGCATCCATAAACTTAACATTCCCAACTTCACAAAAAACCCTTAACCTATTTCTGAGAAATGTTACTGTATTCTTTGCTTTGCCAAAGATGAACCAATTTAGTGAATTATACAGTCCCCACCTTTTAGTCTCAAGGGTTGGAGCAAAAAACTCCATGCACATTTCAAAGATCTCAACATCCTGATATTGTGAATTTTGTGACCCCAGGGTCTCGCAGTTCACCCTTGGGAGGGGATGAAGGTTATTGGTTTTTATAAGACAACTTCATTTTTGAGCACCACATTACTCATTTTCATTGTTAAGGACCGAACAAGTTTTGATGGTATGCATATATTGACACTGACTGACCTGCATGGGCTTGTTGCAGTCTTACCGTCATCTATGTCACAATTTCTCTTTTTGCGATTCTTGAAAGCTTTATACCCCATAACCTTTATATTTAATATTACTCACATCAGATGACCATCAAGGCCACTAAGCTTCGTTTTTTCAATTCTGAAATCAAAAGGGAACAGCTACGGACTAAAGGGAGCCTACATGTAAACTATGATATGAGAAAGATCTATTAATTAATTCTCAAGTAACAATGATAATTTTTCTTAGTCAAAATCCAACATAGCCACCTGTCAGTCATTTTTTTTTCATCTAAATCGGTCCTAAAATCAAAAGGGCACAACTAGGAATCTCAGCAAACCAACTTCTCAAAGAAATAACTATGATCAGAATTGTTTACAAATAGATGACAGTAGACAGGCCACAGTCCCCGGGTGATTTAAATAGCCCACCATCTGATGACAGTATGTTTATAAAAAAAACACAAGCCTTTCAATACAGTGGACTTTTTATTTTCTTTAAAATGTTCTGGTCTGGTTTACTCCTGAAAGAGAAGAAAAATATGTTTAAACAAAAGTTGGAAAAAACTCCTGTAAATTTAAACACTTAAAGCCATTCTCTTGGAAGGCTGAAATGTACATTGAGCTTAACTGAAATTGTTTCCTACATTTACCAGAATTAAAATCCTAGAATCTTTCCAATATATATTTCAAAAGGTCAATATTTATTCTATGAATTATATCAAAATATCTAGATTCACGACAAGAAACTTACATCAGGCACTTCAATTTCACCACTGTTGATTTTGTCAATGACATCATGAGGAGGACACTTTTCAACAGAGCATCCAACTGACTGAGCAGTGCCAAGGACCTCCTTGCATGTTCCAGCCAATGTTCTGGCCATACTCCTGGGCCTCATGATGCGTGCAATTCGGATGATTTCATCCATGCTGATATTGCCACTGTGTTTTACTAGAAATAAAAGAACAATAATAAATCTTCAAAAAGTGTGTGAAATCTGTGATACAACAATACCACACTACCAGATAAATTTGGTCGATACTTGTCAATTAATGAATAAGGCTGAAGGTATTAAAGGGATATTTTATAATCCAATTTCACAAGATTAAAACATTAATTCTTTCCCATCAGATCAGGAGAAATAAAAGTAGAAATCATACATCCAAATTTATCCATTTTTAATAAAACAATTATCTCATAATATCCAAGAGAAATTCAATGCTTTCATTCTTAACGTGACTGATGTGTACACTTTACACTTTATTCTTACTCAACAATACAGACAAAATCTGGGAGAAACAACTTCTCCATCAAACATTTACAAATATCAACCTAAAACTTATTTTTATGAATCCTTTACACCTTCATGACTAAACCAAACGGTCTGACAATGTAAATTAATCAATTCTAGAAATAATACGAATTCTATCAAAATTCTACAAATACAGAAATCGGGACTCTCCAGTAGATTTATCACTACATTTACTTTCGTTGTATTTCCATTCTTACCATGTTTCACCTTCTTCCTGTCCCTTGGAGGCTCTTTGAGAGCCTTGATCACCAAGGAAGATGCACTAGGCACTACTTCAACCTTAGCCTGTCTGTTCTGCACCACCAACTTGACAGTGATCTTCAGCCCCTTCCATTCCTGTGTACTCTTCGAGATGTCATCACCAACTTTCTTTGGGGACTGAAAGCAAGGATAAATAAGTAAGCAAATTGACTAATACAAAAACAAGTTCAGTCTAGCCCTTTAATTAAGGTAATTCAGCTCTGCATCTTTATTTTCCAATTAAACGGGACAGATGCAGAGCTGAATTACCACAAAGGTCTGTTTCAGTTATTAGTGTCACTAATAACTGAAACAGTGTTGAACCATCTTTTAGATTTTCCCTATTGAGAGTTCATAAAATTGTCATGCACTACTTTGTCAATTAACCATGTTGCATCATATGCTACTACCAAATACCTAGAATCAACTCACCAGACCAAGTGGACCGATCTTAGGAGCCAAGGATGATGTTGCTGGCACTTCACCTCCTACTGCCTTTACATACACTGCAATATTAGAAACAGCAACAGTTTTATCTCGCAGCACTTGCTAAAATTGAAAGTCAAACTTATGTTTCCTTAATGACGGACATCAATATTTCAACTGCAACATTTTAAAGTTATGATCTTGAAAGGGTGATTTCCCTTTACCTACAGATTCAAAAACTGAACTTAAGAAACATGTACTTATTACTTGGTTAACAAGAGACTGTCAGTCTCGATGACTAAAATCCCTTTTATTTTAAAAAGTTTTCCAATCAAACGTCAAAAGATATATCATAATGATCTAATTAAGTGAAACTGGCAACAGTAACATGCACAATGATATTTCCACCATATTTGATAGTCTTCAGAATTTTGCTCAAGATGGAGCTAAAATTGCATTACTTGAAACTCCTTGTAAATTATGATTTTAGTTCTGACTTACGGAAAATCCTGTAGATAATCAAATATAGTGGACTTTGGTAAGGAAATTTCTCTTACATTGTAAAAATTTCATATCGAAAAGTGCTAACTTTCATTATCAACCACACGTTTTCTTTGACACAAGTTTTTGTAACATACCAGACAACACCAACAATATGAGTGAGATTGTCATGGATACCACACAACACCACCAGGATAGATTTGGTAATTTCAGCTTAGTTATGGGTTACCCATTAGAGACTAGGATGTTTCAACTGGACAAGGATTGGTCTACCTAGCCATTTCTACATATATTTACGAATTCATCTGGTCAGAACTTTGTCAATATTTAAACAATCTCATTCACCAAACACAGGAATTATGAGAAAAGGCAATGTACATGTGATCTACCATGGACTTGGACATATATCTATCTGTCTGAACTAATAGGGGAAAACCGAAAATTTGCACATAATATGCAACTGACCTTATACTCCAACTGCAGTAAGGACTTATTACGACAATTTCATGGAATTTTCAAGTAACCAGCACTTTCAGTAAATACCATTTTGTAGAAAATTTACTGCGTCATGAACTAATTATTGACAATATATTCCAAAACTTTGTTTAAATGATTTCAGCTATAATTAGGAACAAATCTGTAACCCTCCTTATTGCCCCACAAAACAGCTTACGTATTATACGCAAATTTATGGTCTCTCGTGAATCTCAAGTTTTCTCTTCACAGGAGTTACAACCCTCTAAACATAACAAGATGATACGCAAACGGTATAAATGACGAAACTGATAAATAAGATGCGGACATAGTGGTAGAATAGACCAGCGTGCATAGACGATCTCAAGGTATCCTAGTGTAGAACAAATACAGATATTGGTTGGGAATTCGTACAAGCCCTTGTGGGTTACATCCTTTGCCTAGACCGAAATGCACAGTAGTCAAAACTGGTGACGTCGACACTGTCGGAGCTGAACAGATAAATGGGATAACTTCTCACTTTCCGTCAGTTGAACAATCTTCCAATCCTCATTAAAAAACTAAAAAAAATACATTAAACTCGATTACATTTCTATCGAGACCGTTTTACCTACCACATCATCGTGTTCGAGGACTTCGATGTCAACACGTGAAAAGATATTTCACATCGAACTGAAAAAATTCAGCCTTTTCCATCTTACCGATCTTAATCGCTGTTGGATCGAATTTAGGAGGCATTTTGCTACTTTATTAACTCGGTCTCAATGTCTCAATCGGCGAGTGGTGTTGGATGAGTCCGGCTTTTGGACACGACCAAAAAAGTTGCACCAATCGTCAAAATGTCATTAACGGAAAAGGAAGTGCTATTATCTACTTCCGGCAAAGTGATGTTTCAGGAACGACAACTTCGATTATATATCCTGGTCCTATGTGCATTATAGGTTGAAATTAACTTTATATCATAAGAAATATGCACTGCCTACAAGTAAGGTACAATTGATAAAAAAGATGCAAATATTGTTTTTTCTTTGTTCTGTTTTTAGAAATATACTTCTCGTTATAACACTTCAAAGACATCCACATATAACGCTACCCATCAGCATCATCATCAGCATCATTATCATCATCGTCATTCATGGCTTCCACACACACTTACCATGCACGTACAACCATACAACATGAAGGCAGACAAAGGAGAAAAAACAATAATTAGATTCTTCTGAACCTTGGGATAATTCTATCTTTTTCCCCAAATATTTGACCCTTGTGACATTGGAAATATGTACAGGTCATTTATATGTTGTCATGATAAGGTGGCACAGCGGTAATGCATTTATCGTTCAGTTTGACGTTCAATTCCTGGAACAGACCTGAACAAGTATGGGGTCACCTATCCGACCATACAGGTTTACCCCTGATACTCTGATTTTCTGAGACAGTACGACTCCTCACACGTTTCAATCTGGGTCAACAAAAGTTATGAATATACTGGTATGCTGAATTTCAATACAAGACTTCATAGTAATCTAACACAGTTAACTACTTACCAAATACTAGTACCTTTTATATAACTGGAGATTTTCAATATTTTAAACCTATGACCTTGAAAATAGTTCAAAATCATTTTAAGAGGAAACTCTATAGCACTTCATCGCAGGTACTTTTACTTGCAGGCTAAATATAACATCAGGGAATGGTTACTATGTTTATCTACCTTACCCCTGTGACTGAAAATATGTAATGTTTATGATGAAACCAATCCTATGTTCCTACAGACCTGATATCAGTACTATTTGTTTTGGAACTGAAGAATAAGTTTATGAAGGGTTTAACCCATTTGACACATAACCTTTAAAAAGGTCAAAGTCACTTATATGAGAAAACTTTAAAAGGGTTGTTAAAAGTTTTAAGCTATTTCTCTTCTGTGACCTTGAAAATAAGTCAAGGTAATTTACATGATTTACATAATTTGTGCAATGGAAATAAATAAATCACTGCTGTTGACTTGTGCAGTCAACATTTTCCAATTCTGGTGCTATATTTGTAACTAATGGCATCCATGTGGAGACTTCAGATCTGTACAATGCCATAAAGGCACTGAAGTGTTATATCAGTTATAAAACTAGTTTTCCATTGAGTTCACCATTAATCTGTAGGTATCATCATGTAACTATATCAGCCAACATGTTGCAAGAAAACAAGACGATAAAAGCAGAGTTTCAAATGTTTAATAACAATGAAAATGATGCAGTTACATGCTGAATTTATTTCCTGCATACAAAAATAACAATAAATACTATAGTACTGTTCCATTGATAATCACACGCCAATATTTCACGGAAAAGTTTAGGGATGCCAGCTTGTGTTAAAACTGTTGGCATATTAAAGTATGACAAGACATCATCACCAAATGTCAGTGCCTATTTGGAGAAGTGAGTTTCCAAAATCCTCTAGCAAAATTATTGAATTACATGTACACAATAAAATAATTCCTGTAGAAGAAAAAAGAAATTCGTCCTATATCAATAAATTAAGACTTGCATTACAAAAGGGCATTTTCACTTCACATTAAAAATTTGGTCAACCCAAGATTGTAATCAATATTTCTGCTGTTGAAAACAGTCTGGTCTTGCCATTAGAAGTATTTTCAGTCTATTTTGTGTGTTTTTTCTAGCTGATCTAGTCATCCGAACCATTTGGAGTCGATAGAATACATACTGATACTATTGTGTTGCCATAATAAGCATGTTTAATTCTATCAACTAAAAATTATAAACAGAGATATCTTTGGTAGTAAATTACCTTAAGTGAACAATACACACCACCTGATATCATCTCCATTACTTGATGTTTTCAATAAGTCTATTCTTTTAACAATACTTTTGAAATACAACATAAATCCCTTGTTAAAATAACATTTCAGGGATCCTTTCTCTTTTACAACCAACAACGCATCCCAAAATTTGACAGAAGTGACTGTTTTGTTGACATTTAAATGTGATAACTAAGTGAAACGGTCACCATTTTGCTACATATTTAAAGTCTGTTTACAAACACGAACTGCGCAATTCAAACTTTACTAATGCAAGATGGACCTCCACATGATTGGTTGTCCATCCATATACTGTTCTTTCCATCCCACCAGTTTTCCTTTACAATGTCCTGTATATCTGCACTAACAAGTGAACCATGTGATATTTAACAACATAACTGTACCAAATAACCTTGTTTTACAAATAAATTACCAGCAGAATTACTGTTTAAATTTGTGCACAGCCTAGTAATGCATGCTCTGCTTCAATGGTTGCACTGGTCACTTTCTCTACTTTGACTTTACTTATGACATGCAGGTATTCTATTACAATATTGTAAATTTGAGCTATAATTTCAGTCGTCCTGGTTACATGTCCAGGTGTTGCTATATATAAATTTATCATCGGTTGCCCCAGTCATAATTTGACCACAGTGGACATCAGCTTCATCTTAATTCATTATTAACTATGTAAACTTTCTTAAGGAGTGGCATTTTTACAATACATGACTAATATGAAATTCAATAATATATCTGTCTCCTTTAAAGTTTTAAGCGGGAGTAATCTCCCTTGTTTTGCTACATGCACATAAGCAATGGCTGACACTATGCATTCCAAATTTATCATCAATAAATACTGAAAGTAAATAAAGTTAAAATAACAATTGAATAGTGTCATCATGTAGCATTTTCCAATCTAAATTAACTGTTCATTGCAGTATTGTATACATATACTTCTAATGTCATCTTAATTGTTATGAATTGATTAAATTTAAAATTACTTCTTGCCAATTCTGCATTTATTTGATTAAATGCGTGTCTCAAATATTACATTGTCTTAAAGCTTTCTTTCTTGCTTAAAAAATTATGACACTGACTGTGAAAAATGCATAAATATATTAATTGTCACATCTGCTGGTACCACACAATGGTCTAGTCACTAATAAAATGCAAACTAGTACATATTACAATACATGTACAATAAAAATGCACTATGAAAAACGTTCATAACAAAGACAAAAGTCATAAACTCTGATCTGATAATCATGAAGGCCATGGCTTGGTCTAAAGCCCATACACTGTACTAGCTATTTATATTTCACAAAAGAAGGCAAATCTTGAAAAACGTTTATTTTATTACATATTTAAGGTGTAGACGTTAAGGTTTGTATCCTATGATAAAGAAGCCATACACCAACCTTTTGTTTAACCTGAATTTCACTTAAAAATAAACACAATTATCTACATCAATCCTTTTTGGTTACTATTTCATTTATTCATATTTCATAATAATTTAAAGTATGAAAGATGCTTTTTTTTCCCTTCTTGTTGTTGTGAAACAGGAGTCTTTTAAAGCCCTCTTGAATTTTTTTTTTATCTGCACAGGTTTGTCTCCATCAAAGAATATGAATGGTTGACATATTCTATTTAAGATATACACTTCTAATTTATGTTACTTCCCTTAAACAATAGGGTTTATATCATCATAGTTTATTTATGTCTACTAGAGTAAAAAAAAAAGAAATGAAAATAAATATGAATGAAGAGTCATTTAACAACACCTGACACAATGTATCTTTGTATATAATTTTTTTTAAGGGAGATTTATTCTGCAGTGAAATATCACATAACCTTACATCAAACTACTGGTCTTAAACCTGTTAAAATACAATATACTGTATTAGTGTCATCATCTATCATCAAATAATTTTCACTTATTTCATATCTATGGAATGCTACTTTTGGGTCGAAGGCGAAACTCTCATTTGTTATATTTCGAAGAACCTATCTCAAGTTTTAAAGGATTAGATTCTTATGAAAATGTCAAAATAATGAATACTTATCATCAGTGGTTTTACTACTGACAAGTTTAAAGACAAAATCTAAATTGTTGAGAAAATGCTGCCAAAACAATGAGGGTAAAAAAAAAAAGAAAAGAAAAAAATGGTACATGTAAAACTATTTTCTCTATCGTTCAAAAAAACACAAAATGTAAAATATTGCAATACTAATGTCATCAATTTTTTTTCAATATTGATATTTGAAGACTTTCTTCTTAGAAGGTAAATATCATTATGAACAAATTATTGACTCTAGTTATATAATTAATTCTGCTTTTCCATAAAACATTATCACTTCAGAGTGTACTTCTACTTTTTTTTCTGTTTTCTTCAAACATAATCTTACACTAATATAGCTGGTTTAGTGTTAAGTATGTATCACTAAAATCTTCAAGAGCACTATAACCAACATACCCTACATAGTACTTAACTGTCATGGTGACGGACTGGAAATACCATTACAGATACTAGGAAATATTCATGCAAATTTTCCACTTCCCTTTTCATTTTCATAACTTGTGTACATGGTACGAGTTATGGCAATGTGAAAGGCAAACAAACCACAGCACTTAACCAATAAAGGTAAGTAATTCACTCTGAATCTCCTGATACAAGAGTAATATAGTATACTGGTAGTTCACTGATAAATGCTGAGACAAAACTTTTATTATAATAATATCTTTATATATATATATGTGTGTGAGTGTGTGTGTGTGTTTTCAACAAAACAGATATTACAGTAACCATTATTATACAAAATAAGACAAAAAAAATTGTGCAGTTATAGTCAGTGACCACAATATTACACCATTTTATGGCTCATAGAATAGCTATAATTCATGAATCTTTGGCGAAATCAGACAAAACATTTATTGATCGTACCATAACATTGTAAGCTGGCTTAGGGGACACAACAAGGAAAAGAATACACATATTACATGTAGTACAGCACGTCACTGTCGATGAAATTTTCAAAAGATGCTGCATTATCATTAATGATCTGAAACAAGGATCTGGGGTGTTATATGAAGATTCCTATGAACAGTGGTACATAGTAGTTTCCTGTTTTGGTGGCCAGTTTTGTATTAATTGAAAACATGATTAAATACTAAAAATGGTAGGTTGTATCAGTGACTCAATCCTTTCTGATATAAGTAAATCTCAGTAGAACTGATGTGGATGGTAGGGGAGAGGTTAAATACTTTCATAGTGACATTATAAATAATGAAATATGTAGATTAATTTTTTTTTTAATGGTGTCTTCCTTCGAAACATGTAGCATTCATATCTTAATTTGTCATTCTACTGAATCACTGACTGTATACCAGTTAAGATGGCATTATCAGAGTAGAATTTAATCAGCTTAACTTCCATTTGGTTTTCATGGCAGTTCTTTTGAAACCTGCCTAGTTTTCTGATAGTTCTTTAAATTCTTATATCACTCATGAAAATGGTGCTAAAGGCTGCATTTACTAATGATACATCAAATTTCATTGATATTTCAATAATCCTGTTCTCAAGTTCTGAAGCACTGACTGTACAGACAGCAGTGCAGGCAACATTCAAACCTATATCGTGATGCCAAGAGTAAGTTCATCTTTGTTATTTCACCAATTCATTCATGGTATAAAAGGACAAACATTCAAACCTATATCTTCACAAGAGTCTCTCTTGTCCACAAATCTGACAGTTTAACTGATAGGAAAAAATCAACACAAATCCAAGTCATGTATCTAGCCCCAGAGAAATCTGGATTTTATCTTATTTCATAGATAAATACTTCAGTATCATGATTCAGAAAAAAAATGTATAATGAAAGCTAGAAAGGAATACTATTGCAATTGACAGAATGGGAAGAAGCTGAGAAACACTGAATTCATTATCACTAACCACATATACAATTCAAAAGGAAGAATTTGATTATAGAAAATCAATAAAAAAACAAAATAGATAGGACATTTGACCAAGGATTAATAAAATTGATCAGTTATGGTTCATTACAGCCAAACAAGTCCATAGTGAATAAGTTACCAGGACAACCAAAATAGGAGAGAAAAAATAGCAAGTTTTATCATTTTATTTTTTCAACCTTTGAAACCCAAATTTACCCATTTCAGGAAATATCTAAATTTTGACCGATCAGAACCTTCCATTTTGATGTCAGTGTAATGGTTTTGCAATTATACCAATATGTTAAACTGGACCGAGGAGTTATGGCCCTGTACACAAAGAGTGAACAAGCTACCATGACAACCGATTTTTTGTGGAAAAAAAAAAAAAGATCTTTAACATATGGTCCTAAGATTTCCTGTGAATTTCCTTGAACAGCTAAGAAGTTTTGGAGAAGTTGTCCAGACAAAATTTGAAGACTAAAAGCAGACAAGGTGATTCTAGTTTACAGCTACTTATAAAATAGGAGGGAAGCCATTAAATTTCTATAGTGAAATATTGCTAACAAGAACTTTCATTCTAATCAAATCTGTATAAATTTCATGACAGTTTTTTTTTCCTCTGCTGGCATTGTACTCTTATTTACTATGTACTCTGTTTCAGGACTAGATTTCAGCATGGACTAGTGAACTATATAACCTTACTAATCCTATGTAGTTCTACAAATTATTATGACTTAAAATGATTTGACCTTTAGATTATGAAATAACTTTCTTGCTCTTTAAACAGGTGAACTAAACTACTATCAACTACTAAAATGGAAACATTACCTAGCGATTCTAAATGTTTCACCAGCAACATTCAGTTTATAACATTGGATGGATAGGACATAAGCAAAGTCTACCTGAAACTCTAATTGTTTTGTTCACTCCTGATGTTCACCATTTTTCCATGTATATTTAAGACAAAGCAGTGTTTACATAAATTGTGGCCATTACCTCAATTTCTCTGTCCCCAGTGACCTTTTGAATTTAAAAGTTATAACTGACAAAAAATTTTGGCAATCAATCCTGCTGGGTTCACAAGCAACTTTTCACTATCAAAGGAAAAGTTAATGATTTGAAAATAAAAGACTGAAGGATTTCGGTTACAAGATTCAGTTTGTGGTACAAAACTCTCTGTTCAATGGTATTACAATATCACAAAGAAATATCATCTTTACATAACTACACTTAACATTTCTCTTCACAGGTATAGATTTTGCCAAAAAAACCTCAAAACACTGACCAACCTTTCAAATCAGTTAACTATAATATGTTATGTGGAATAACATGATGCTACATTGTACATGCATGATATCACATCATAGCTGTTGCAATCTTACATTTAATTTTGGACCTATGCAAAAAAAAAAAAGGTGTAATGCTCAGAAAACATAATATGCACCAGGTTTATGCATCATCTAATTTATCCAGTCAATTGTTTCCTGTGAAAACAGCAATATTAAAAAAAAAAAAAAAAAAAAAAAAAGATCTATTCACAGAACAGACTGGATAAAATGAACAACCACCGCAGCTTTATCAAATAGGCTTGGTTTTACATACCAGTAAATTAATGTTTATGCAAAGAAGCGTGTTATATTCTTGCAGGAATCACACACATGAAACCTCTATCATTAATGTAAAATCCATTTCAATTCATTACAACAAATATTTGGAGTTGTGTTAAATTTTAACAAAATTCTTTCTATGTACCAGAACCATTTCAATCACAGACAATATTTTTTTAATTTTCAACAAAATACCAAACATACAAAAATTGAAAAAAGGATTGCTACCCACTTAAATCTCTCTTGATTTATAAACAAGAAAAATACAGTATAGGACAACTGTATAGCAAACTTTTCTTTATTAATAACCAAATACAATAAAAAAAAAAAAAAAATCAAAGAATCTAATTTCTTTGACTGGGCCAGAAAAGTACAACCACCAATCACAAAATTTGTTTGATGTGGTTGTGTATACTTGACGGATGCAACTAGAAAGGAAATGCCAAAATTGAAGAATTACTTGTACCCTGATTTGTAATTCATGATGTCTACTTTTCCCGAAACAAACTTTAAATTGTGTTTCCTACAAATAAACATCTTAAAAACAGTTTGAAAATGTTTATTCGGTCAAGAGCGGAGAAACTTCAACTGCATGTATTCACGATCTGCTGATAATTCAACCTAGTTTTACCAAAGATACTGAATAGGCTGAGCCTTCTGTATTATACAACTGATTTCAAACTATTTGAACACCAACAGGCTTCTACAGGTATCTTGAGTAAACAACTTAAAACACACAGCTCGTATTAAATAGGAGCATCACAGTCAAATAACATATGTTTTTTTGTTTTTCAAATGACTTCGCAAAGACAACACCATAATGTGTACTGCTTGTATCTGAATTAGACACTCATATTTTTTACCAGCTTTCCTTGTGCATTACCAGGAAAAAAGATCTCAGTATGTAGTTAATTCACAGAATAAGACCCCTTGCGAGGCCTAGGGCAATGCTGGGAACAATTCTGTCTATATTTGGGATCAACTTGGCATATCATGGCATGGTTGACCAACAGTGAATCACAATACAGGTAGTCAAACTTACCAGACTGATATCACTTCAATAATTTTGTGATTTTGTGGGCGACACCTACATCAGATTGCAATAACAATCTGCAAAGCAAATGAGTCTGGACCATGGAAACAAGGGCTAATACAAAGCTAAGAACATCATTTTGCAGCATTGCAGGATGAAAAAATCATATATAATCACTACTGAGGATATCCTTTGTGATTTCAAACACACATTTTAGTGTACAGTGTCTGCAAACAATGAACAAGCTTTGTCCATATTTTGTTGTCCCAAGCTAATGTAGTTCTGGCAGCTGTGCCCGAATGCTGTATCCTGTATCTCTACAGCCAAGCATGGTCAATCCCTGTACACTTGGTACAGGTGTCTCTAGCACTCTCAACATAATGTAGTGGAGGTTCAACGGAGAATCGCAATGGCTTATCACCTCCATCCAAAACATTTGGCACATTTGTACATCTCCATTCAGCTTAAAAATTTTCTCTCGTCTGTTTCCAGGCACAGCAACGCACAAAAAAAAAAAAAAACAAAAAAAAACAAAACAAAACAAAAACAAAAACACTAAATGCAGAGTACAGCATGAATGTATACATGTAGCACATTATTGAACCAGTATATATATAATATATATATATATACCTGCAAATTAATAAAATTGAAATATTTTTGGTCTATATATAGTAATCCTGCATGTAACTGTTAAAAATCATTGTTGCATGATTTCATTTTTATAAATATGTGCAGTCAGTTTATAAGTCTCTTGCAGCAACCCGACATAAATAACTCTGCTTTGTGGAATCCCATAATAAAGCAGGGAAAACAGACGTTTAAGATCACAGAACATTTATCACTACTCCATCAGGTCTCGCTGTGTCCACTCACTTCACATTGGGTTGTATGGACTCTGGATTCTCAAATACTACAATGAAGAGGAAAAGAATTTGTTAGTCTGAATAAACAGATTAATGCAGCATCGAAAACAGCCTTTATACATATTAAACTGTATTATGAGCATTTCTAAATATGGAAGAAATTTGTCCAGCTTTGCATTGTTGAACAATCTCACACTTAATGTCCTACCACACCAATAAATCATAAGAACAATTACAGTAACTTCAGTACAAGCCATTCGGTGAAACTAAGTGATGCTTTCTATATAATAAATTTCTATTGCCAGAGTCATTTTTCAATATTTACAAAAATCACTTCAAGGAGCAGTTGTCCTTCATTACAAGATAATTTTAGGAAAAATTTACCTGTATTACTAATGACGGTCCTTTGGCTACAATCTCTGGAGCAATCTGACTAAGAGGACAATTTTCTATGCTCATGATCTGTAGATGACTACACAATACAAGCTCATAGGGCAGGCTGTGGAGGTCTGGGTTGTCATTGATATACAGCGACTCCAGGTTCTCCAATGTACCTACAAGATTAAGCAAAACCACTTTAAACTGTTAGTAAACATATGTAAGTAACAATAATAAATGTGTGCTCACACAACATTATGGTGAGCAATTTTTTTTTTCATAATCTCAAAATGAAAACACAAAATGCTTTTAGATCCACATATCATGTTTGTTGAATGTGTAATGCCCAGTACCAGAAAGAATACCAAAATATGTGGCATTCAGATGTTCCATCTGTGCAAGGGAGGAATGGGGGACTATTTTCAGAAAAGACTGACAGACTGGGAGATAGAGGACATAAACCAAGCATCTGTAAACTTAATATGTAGTGATCTCCTTTTACATATTGTACTACTGAGTTGTGGCCATATGCAAGACTTAATGAGTTCTGGACTTCATTTCTATGAAAATGGACCTACATGCATTTTTGAACTTTTCATCTAAAAACAAACTTGTCTTAAAAACATACCATCATTAACTGAGAAATAGACATTAATTTGAAGACTGACAGATAGATGAACTGGGCAAATTTTAGATTTCCACTGGTTGTCACACAGTCCATAAAAACAGTGTGTGTTGGATTCCATATGCTTTCATATCCTTTCGCCTACTATTTTTCATATAATTACCCAAAACATCTATATAATGTAAGTTAAAGCAACACCTTGTGAAAGAATAAAGTATACAGTTACCTATTTCAGCAGGTAGAGATGTGAGATTATTTTCTCCAGCACCAAGATACTCCAACTTGCTCAGCATCCTTCAAAATGAGAACATATAATTCAAATTTGAAATTCAATGTTCAAAATACCACAGAATCAGAAAGGTCGTCTTCTTACTGCAAAGTACTTTGTAAATTTGTATTCTTTATTTTTCATGTACCGAACAAGGAATTTTATAAAATATGCATAGGATATTTTCGAAAATGCTTTGAGGTTGAAGGAAGGTAAGAACTATGGTAAATATTTCATTATAAAATTATGTTAAAATGTTAAAAATTTGGACATACTGTCCCTAAAACACATGCACAGCTCATATGAGGAAAGTGATGTTTCCAAAGCATGTAAGAAATCAAAGTTGCCTCCTATTCTTACAGTTGTGCCTTAAATATGGACAACATTCCTACTCACCCAACAGCTCGAGGAAGGCTTGTGAGTTGGTTGGATTGAACTACTAGTCTCGTTAGCTCTCGTAACTGACCTGTAAAAAATAACATCAAATCTTATTTTACTTTAGTCACTTACTTATTAATCATTTTAAATGAGATTATTTTTGAAATTATTCTTGTAATGGTTACAAAAACCTCTATAGACAAAAGTGCTTGAACTCAATGCTATCTCACCAAAATATTACAATTAATTTAATTATGCAATATGATGAAAGAAAAAAAATTAAGGGCTACATTAAAGGTCACTCAAATTCATGAAGAATTTCAAAATTTTTACATGAACAAAATGGAACCATCATAAAACTATACACAAAATATCACTTCATAATATAATTGTGTTTTTAGCAAGCATTTCTTGAATAAAAAAGAACATTTCATTACCGGCATTGATAAAAATGGATCTACAAGAAGTCTAGTTAGATCTAATAACAACAAAGTGAACACTGGCTCACATACCATCTCCATTCCCCTTTATCTTTTTCTTATGATCTAAATCTATAGAGGGGCTTATGAATAAAGGGGTTCACAAGATATCTTGTACACAAGCTTTTTATTTCAGAAGTGGCAAACAGTGACCTTTAACTTTTTACAATGAACTTAGACACTCAAAATCTATCTGGGGTAGAACTTGTGATAAGGTGAAGCTATGTTATGAATATGAAAAAGATTCATAAGATACTGTGTATAAAAGATTTTTAATTCAAAAAGGATGTGTCTGTTCCAAAGAGGTTCTCTCATATTTCATGCAAAAAAATAGAAAATGTTTTCAGAACTGGTACAGTTCAAGGAGAAACAAACACAAGTAATCCTCATCTTTCACTTACCAATTTCTTGAGGTAGAGACTCCAATTTATTCTCCTCTAGATCCAGTACTCGTAACTTTTTCAAATTACCTATGCTAGGAGGTAACCTCTATAAGAAAAGAAGAAAAATTGCTCAGATTATTTCCATGTTTATTTTACAGAGTCATTACACATAACCAGGGCATTACATTTAAGTTTTGTTATAAGCTTTCCTAACAATATCAGTAAAAATATAAATGAAAATAAAATATCAAAGTTAAAAAAAAAAAGGCACTTTAAAATCTCATTTAATAATAACATTAACAATTTGGCCTCCTTGTTTATATTCCGAGACATTTACATCAAATGTGTATTTTCAACATCAAATGTATGATTTGGAATAAGCAGACAGCCAGATGGACATTCCATAAAATACATTCTAAACAACTCATGCAGAAATACTCTAAGTAATAGATTTTGTATAACCAAACAGCCGGATGGGCAATGATTGATTTGATTGGTTACACTTTTGTCTTAGTGACATTCCCTATCCCTCGGCATTGTATTATTTATGCATGTCAGCGTTCTGGTGACGCAACACTGTTTGCTGTTTGGTGCCCATATCTCTGATGCAAGGTCTGAATTTTCAGGAACCACTTCTGTGCTACTACACTTTTCACTGTACCAATTCCTCATTTTCCAAGGATACGAGTAAAGCTTAAAAGGTTGTTTCAAAAATATCAAAGACGAAAACGTCACCAACAAAACGTTCAAGAATTAACAAGCATATATATTCATCTTACCCTTAACAAATTATTACTAAGAATTAAAACTTCCAACTTCTCTAAGTTCTGGATGTCGTCAGGGATGCGGGTCAGTTGGTTGGTACCTAAATTCAATTCCACCATATTTACCCAGCTTCCAATGTCTACAAATAATAAATGATGTAAAAGAGCACATTATTGTGTATTATATAAAATGAACACAAAATATAGTAAATTCTGTTGACAATATTTTGGAGATTTATGCATACAAGAAAAATGAAAAGATCAGCTTTGTTTTTAATTTGTCAGCTTTTTTCAGAGTTTCATCTTTTTTCAAAACTAAAGAAATTTTCTACAGAAGACAGAAATGTGTTTTTCTATCAGCTTTTTACTTTAATAAAAGTTAACATTCTGAAATGAGATTTCATTTCATACAAGATTGACAAAATGTTTTTGAAGTTTATTGAAGCTTTGTGGTCATATAAAGGACATTTTTTCCTTTAAAAAAATACACACATACAGAAAGAAGAAAATTGTAGTTCTCATACGTTCAGCTCAAAGAATATGTCAAACTTACCCAGTGGCAAGAAAGTGAGATGGTTGTCCTTCATGTTGAGTTTTGTAAGACTCTGTGCCCGGGAAAATATCCCCAGAGGAATTTTGTTGATCTGATTATGTTCCATGTTAATAGACTGTAAAATACAGAGCACAAAATTACCAAATACAGCAAAAATAACTTGACTTCTCAAAATGATATTTTGCTGAGTAGCTTCATAACTGAACATCAGACAAGAGGCCACATGCTATCCGGAGCAATTGGAGGCCAGTGTCCTGCCTAAGACAATAACCACAACAGACACAGGATAATATATGACCACACACCTTGGATATTTAGCTGAAGATGGAAAGTCTCACATGCTCCTACCTGAACTATAGCAACTTACTTCTGATTGGTGAGAAAGACTATCCTTAACAAAATTCACTTACAACAGAAATGCATTGCAAAAATTAAGCTTGTCAAACAGACAGTGCATCTTAGATGTGTCACTTTTCTTTCTATCAAGAAATGATTTTTAACCCGCAGAGTCAGTAACAAGTTCAACATGAAAGTGGCTTAAATTTTGTTTGGATCATTATAACGGTACTTACATAGACTGAACAGAACTGAGCAGGGCCCCCTGTGGGATAAGACTGAAAAGCATTCCTTGACAGTGTGATGCTGGTCAGGTTTGTCAGACTGGATAGTAGCCCTTCCTGTAACAGCATCAACAGTTATTAACAGAAATCTGTCCCTGTTTCATAATCCATTACTGAATACACATAATAAAGTTATTGTCATTAAGGCATTAACAACAATAACAACAACAAAAAAGAAAACAGTTGTTTCCTGCATTGTATGTATCGTTAAATTTAAAATAAAATGTTTTCATTAGTTTTGAATCTATTTGTAGAATAATGAATACCACTGATAAAAGACTTTCAAGGCTGCTAGTAATTCAAATCATATCAAAAAGAACAACTTTTCATCATGCATTATCCTTGATTTCTTACATCTCTGATTCATTCCTGAACACTATATATTCATTATATATACCATTATCATTTCATTAATGCATCATTTATTTATTTTTCTTCATTATTTATTTATTTATTTATTTATTTATTTATTTAGTTTTGATTACTAGCTCATCACTACAAACAGTCCCATTAATTTTGGATATATATCATTTAACTCTTTTTTCTTGAGAAGAAAGAGAAAAACCTGCATATGTAAATGTCTCAGATAATCTAATTAAATTTCTGAATTTGAATATTCAATAATGTTTAGCGAAAAAAAAAAGAAATCAAGAACTCTTTCAGGATCTTTCATGTAAATCCTTATTTTCTTCATATTTGGTTCTAATTGTAAGTGTCTTGTACACGGGCACAACCACAGTAGCACAGACCAATCTCTTTCCCAGCTTCCTGAGAAACACAAGCCATCATTGATGGAGATTGTCAAACCCAGATCATGCAAAACCATCTTCAGTATAAGATTATATTTCAACATCAATAAATTGGACATTTTCACTCCCCAAGAATTTGGACTTTAAAAATTCAATTACCCAAATTGGCATTACTGTAGTTAAATTATATCTGAATTTAAACTCTTAAACTCTAAAATGTTATTGAATCCATACCGGTAATTGTGATATGTTATTTCCCTCCACATTGAACTCCTCCATGAGAACACAGTGTGCTAGTGTTTTTGGAATACTTGTCAACCTATTGTACCTGCAATACAAACATGTTATGCCAAAGTGTCAGAAAATACAAAAACTGTGAAAGAAGTTAAGACTCTTGTAATTATTTATGTTTCATCGCATCTTGTTACTGAATTATATGAATTACCATTAACAATCAGAACACTGAAATACTAAGCAACATCATGTCATACATTTTGATCAATTTGAATATAAAATCATTCCTCTGTCTATTCAACTTCAAGTGCAAATTTACAATTATATCTATGCAAGATTTTGTACTTAGTAAAATAAAATTCAAACTGAATTTTGTTTCTGGTGCTCAAGGAATGATTGTATTCTCCAGAAATTTTACCTTAATCCTAATCTTGATAAAGATTTAAGGTTTCCTATGGATTCAGGTATGTCCAGCAGCTCATTGTGCTGAAGGTCAAGGGAACATAGCATAACACAGTTACCAATTTCTGCAACAGGAAAAAATATACCATTTTTTACAAAATGAAATAACAGGATATATGATATTGAATTCATAAATGCAAAACAGGTGACACAGAATACATAATGATGAATAGTACAGTATAAAAGTATCATTATCATTTCCTTATTCAGACCATCAAGTCATCTATTTTGGTGAGGCAAGAATAATGTCTCATACTTGCAAGTATGATGTATCAAAATATTTCTATATATTTCACCGAGCACTGTGATTTTTCCCTATCATATTTCAATATATATAAACTAATAGACTTCATAACACAGAGCTGTTACAACAAACTTGTTTGTACTTAATAGACTTACCCTCTGGAAGGTGCTCCAGGTGGTTGTGTGAAATATCAAATGTCACCAAGTTCACCAGTTTTCCTATACCTCTAGGTAATTTAGGAATTTTGTTTTCTCTTAAACTGAAAATTGTTAATTTCTGCAAGAAAAGAATATTTTGATTATTATGTTTGTCACCAGAATACTATTATGCATACTAATTGGTTCATTGTTATGAAATCAAATGTCATTTTAAGAATGAAAGTGAGATCTACTTTAAATGTCATTGCATTCCTTTGCAAGTATATTTTTAGACATCAATTACTGTGTATTGAGGATCTCAATTTCAGTTATTTTTACAATATAAGCTTAGGTGTACGTAAAGTATACACCAAAATTCATGGTACATGTAATATTAGAAAGTCATTGAGTTACTTACTGTTAAATTACTGATATCCTCATCAACTTGTCTAATTCTATTGAATCTCAGAAAGAGCGTTGTCAATGATCGCAACTGGTACACAACCTCTGGGATCTTTGATAGAAAACACATGAAATATACAGATGGAATATCCTAAATAAGATTTGCTATAGTACTTACAGGTCATGTCACAACAATTTTGTTTTCATTGTTTTATTATTGACATTTAGTAAGTTACATGGTGAATCAGTTTGAATGACACATTTTTAGGGTTGAGTAGAGGTGAGAATGTTTGAATAACAATCACCCCCCACCCCCCACCCTTTGCTTTGATCTTTCGAGTATGTCCAAGTAACATATTGAATTCAATAACCAAGTTCAATAAAGCTGATATACATAAAGCCGTTTGACGAATGCATATCAAATTGTTTAACATGATAAATAGGTTTAATCAATATTTAACAGATGTGAGTACAAGATACTATTCATCTTATAAATCATCATACAGAAAGAATAAGTGAATAATTTTCTATAATGGTGCAACATCATTTACTTTCAATGTTACAAAAGACCCATCTCAACTTACAATATATAAGACAAGTGCATATGGCATGCGATGAGAGAACATATTTGGTAATACAGTAATACTGTATTTTTAAAATTATCCAAGTCTTTGTTCAAAACAATTATTAGATTAAAACTAGCCCGAAAGTTCTTAAATATATGCTTTACCTCGTTGAGTCGATTGTGCCTTAGATCAAGCACCTTAAGGAACTTGAGGTTCTGAAGTGAGTCTGGCAGTGTGGTGAGTGAGTTTTCACTCAAACCTAGCTTCTGCAAGTTTGTTAAATAGCCAATCTCTGCTGGTAGTGTACCTAGCTTGTTTCCATACAGGTAAAACTCCTCAAGCTGTATCAACTGTAAAAAAAGTTTCAAGAAAGTATTTCACTAAGTTATCTACAAGTCTTACACTGTCTGGTCTAATTTCATGTAATAGTTCTTGAAGGCTATCATGCAAGGTGTTACTGTACAGTTGTCAATATTCATAAGGGAATTAATTATGGTTTATTTGTGGTTAATAAAGTTTGAAATTGCTTATCCAGCAAACATTTCTATAGTGAATAAAAAAAAAAATCAGAAAATATTTGTTATGCTTTGATATATGGACATCAGTTTTCAGATATGCATGAAATTTATTATTCATGAACTAGTCCAAACCAGGTTAACTGCAAAATACTGGCCCCCTCAAAAATTATATAAATAATCTAATCAGTAAACACTTAAAATGGTACATTTTCAATAATTCCTCACCTCTTTCACAGAACTCGGAATAATTGTTATCTGAAAAATATAAACATGTATCCTGGATAAATATGCCGTCAGATATAATTTTTTGTAATATTTTTTGGCTATCTTTCTCCACAGGTATGTACACATGAACATGAAAAATTTCTAAATTTTATCCAAGAATAACAAGGAAATACTAGAGACATATCATGTGATATAACTGATTAAAACAGTTTGGGATATTAAGGCTTTAAGGGCAAAACAAGCTCTCCATTTCAGTTTCACAATATTCCCAAAAAATTTCACTCCAATAAAACTTGAAAAGAATTTATAAGTCTTTCAAAATGGTACCATTGTCTGCTTCCTTTCCCTTAGATTCCCACCAAATTTTCAGCTCAATGGCACCAGTGGTACTTACAGAGTAGTTTAAAATATGTGTTTCAAGATGGCTACAAAGGTGGCCATATTACATTTTGGACCAACTCAAAAGATAACAACACTTCGTCGGGACCATCACAGAACAATTTCAGGATAGGTTCAAAATTCAGCTCAATCCCATTGGTGGAAGTTTAAAAGTGTATAAATAGAGAAAAAATAAGGAAGAAAGCCATCAATAAGTCAGAGAGACATATTGACAGCAGGTTACTATGGTGATAAATCTAAATGACAGGAATCATATCCTTGGCCCGGGTTTAGCATTACCTGTGATTTACTCAAGTCAAGTCTTCTTGATTCATCTTCTTTACATTTCTTAAATTCTTTTGCCACGTCCTGTAGTTACAACAAATGAAAATCAATAGAGTAAGAATCCAAAATAATGTTAAAAAATAATATATAATACTGTTTGTGGTTATTCATACTTATTATTTTCTTAAATAGTGGTAATTCTTTTTCCAGTATTTATATATTCCAGCACACTCCATATTACATTTTCTAATTCTGAAGATCAAAATTAAATAAAATATCCATCATGATCAGTGCATACAAGGAGCCATATATACCCCGGTAATAGCAGCTCCAATTTCTTTGACACATCACTATAAGAACACTCATCGTAGACAATCTTATTGTACATTTATAAGACATCACACACATACAAGTATTACACGATTACACATCATTCAAAGGTACCCTCCTGTCAGTTACAAGCAAAATTTAAGTAAATTATGTGATTCAGCTGTTGACAAAATGTTAGCATTACAAAGGTAGAGTACGTTAACCTACCAGGTCTGCTTTGAGTGAGGATTTCTTTCCTGGCATGGTGGGTTTGGCCCGGTTCTGGCCTGGGTTTTTAACCGTTACCATCTTTGGTCTTGTAGGATCTACAGGAATGGTGCCGAGACTGCCTTTCTTCTCCTAAAATAAAACACTTTGTAAAATCAGATTACTTTCAAAGACGTCCTGGTTTAAAAAGTATTAAAATGTAAATTCCAAATTTCATGAGTTTCAAAATAAATTTAGATTCCAGTAATACCTCAAGAATGGAAAAAGAAGTGCACTTCCATTTTAAAGGGATCAATGGGAAATGCACAACCTCTTTAGAAATGGCTGAAATTTGTTCAAGAATTCTTAATTTGGTACTGGAGATTGTCTCCAGGTCAGAGTTGATGGTGATACAGTGTTAGATGGGTCAATGGTACTGGCTGTTTCTCTTCAAAAAACTTAGCTGTTTTCCCCAAAAGGAAGCGAAATTCAAAAATTTCCTTCTCCAAGTTTAAGGGAAAATCTTACTATATTTTCCGAATCTAAAGACACAAACAGCTGTTAAATTAAGTGTTGTAGTGGATATGGAATCACCAGTTGCTAGAACGTTGTTAGAAGTTTGTCCAGGTCCTCCAGATTTTAAGACTTGTTCGATACAGTACCGACATTATATATGAAAACTATTTGTATCCTTATCATGGGTACACACCATGTAAAAACTTATTTACTATCAATTTTATCGTGGGTAAGTGAGAGTGTCATCGCAGACCCAGTCCAAATTATTCTGACATTCCCTCAACTTTTATATAATGACTTCAACGTTCAATGAATCCAAGCAATTATACAAAAGTCGACAAAACGTCAGAATAATTCGGACTGCTGCAAACCCAGCAAATAGCATCTAAAAACTACACTTAGCAAGTTTTTGGCAGCTATGGAATCACCATGCCAGCATCTTATAATGAATATTGCTAAATATTAGAATTTAATGAGCAACAAAAACATTTCATTCAACAATAAATTTTAAAATAGTTTTTAATGATAAAGAGATTCTAATTCAATTTTTGTTTATAGATAGATATTTTCATTCACTGAACTATCCTCTGGCACATTTTGGTAATACAAATTACAGAATTTGTCAGGTAAACATCATAACAGTGCTAGTACAATGTGGTTTGTTTGTTTGCAAAAGTGTCTTTTATAACGACCATGCATGCCATAACAAGACAGTCTAAAGCACATGCTTACACATCTTTCTGGTTAATTTTATGTTGTTGTGTTGTGTAGATTTATAAAAGACTTAAAGCATTTTTATTATTTTGGTTAATGTCTCAAAATCCTTATTCATTTTCGTCTATTAAAAAATTCTTATTGAAATTAATTAATTGATGGTTTAAGAAAACATAGTGATCATTCAAATCAATTTTCAACTGATTTGCTGATTTTCCTACACTGACTCAGAAACCATTGCAGAAACTCTTTATCATTACTACCGTAATTTAAGTTATCTTTTTTGCATATCAACACCTGTACTGAAAAATGCATACGTAAATATCTAGATAATACTTATTCATTTGATCATAACTAATTTATGATGACAGGTCTTTAAATGTATTTAAATATATGCATGTTAGTTGTATATATATTGTAAGGACACAGAATTCTGAAGATAAAAATGTCAAAATTTAAGAAGCAGTGCATTAATATATATTGAACACACAAACCTGACCAATTTACAATTACATATTATGTATCATATCTATCAAGCAATATGTTCATGTCTGGTAACAAGTCTGTCCAACAACTCGTATCTATTGCTGTTCTGCAAAATTATATATCTCTGTTAAAATACAGTAATTTTGGAAACAGATATTTAAGTCCTGGGCTCATGCCTTTCTTGTAGAACTCACTACAATTTTGAGAACCCCTCTATCTCTTAGTAAAAGGACTCATCAAAATTTTGGAATTGGTGTTCTGCAAATTATTGCAATACCTTCTTGTAATAAACCTATGTCCCAAATTTAAGAAGATGTACATGTGTTAGCTCCCTTGACTTATTGCAGGACAGATACAATATAATGACAGTATACTATAGAATTTATATAGGTGGACAATGTTAACTGTACGTAACAGGATGGATGTGTTAAATAAATCACTGTGTTTTGAGACGTTTCATTGGAAAAACAAATTGGCCAAATAAAAACATTAATTTCAATACATTTGTCCTTCAGTTATATTTAGTTTTAAAAATTGTTTATTTGAATTGATATTGTATTACACAAGGACTTCCTATTTCAAATCTTCCTTATGGGTTTCAGGAAAATTGTACCAGTCAAGGATGTACAGTATTTCTTACTTAGAACTCAAAATTACCTAGAATTTTATGAAGCTATAAATTAGCTGATTAATAAAATGCATGCATACAAATTGTGAATAAATTCTGAAATTTAAGAGGTAAAAAATCTCAGCTAAAATATCATGTTTTGTAACATTTGTAACCAGTTGTAATTTATGCTTACAATGGAGTATTATATTTACGTTTTTTTAATGTGTAGATAATATAGAATGTATAATGTTGTGTACTATAAAGCAACCTTACGGACAGGATTTCAACACTTAGAAAGCGGCTGAGAAGTTGGTTAGACACAGATGGTCTTGGTGATATGCATCAGGGAATTTGATATCAGGAATGTTGTTGAAATTACTGACAAATTTAATACGAAAGGAGTATGAGATATAGTGAAATATTACGACCTTGACAAATCTAAATTATTCCTGAGAGGATACAACCTTTTTCTATGTATGTGTTATTTAGTTTAAATCAAACCACCATTACAAATAGGTGCTGTATTCCTTAAAACGTTTTGTATAGTTATAATCATGAACATGATTTTTTTGTCTGATGGCTTGATTAGCTAATAAAAACTGACAAAGTCCATTGCATATACCCAACGGAATCAGAAATCAAGGATACAATAGATATTTCCACATCAGCCACTTATCTCAATCTTTTCCTACAATGAAACCAACATGGACAGTTTTCCACCCCGAAGTATGATAAGAATGATGATTTTCATTTCCCTACTGTGAATTTTCCATTTCTGGTTAGTGACCTCCTAGAATCCAACACCTATGATGTTTGCATGTCACAGTTGGTTCGATATTCAATTACCTGCTCCCATTATCATGATATTCAAGAAAGAAGTCACCAACTGATGGATGTTGTATACCTTGTTCTCATTTGAGAATATGACATTACTTATTTGGATTGACCAAGACTTATATGGCGAGTGTCGTCAATGGAGCAGAAGACACTTAATCTTCTGAAACACCTGGTCTTATTCTCTTTATATGTTCTGAAGAGTCTCCTTGTAAATCTTTCTTTTGTTGGTATATTTTGCCGTAGTTTTGTGAAATTTGAGTTTGAATTTTTATTATATTGGCATGCATACGTTGGTATTTTCTATGATTTCATGAGCTGGGATTAGCATAGATATATATCCTACTTCTGAACTTTTTATTGAGACGATGACCAACAAAATCTAATCAAAACTTGATGATTAAAAGCTATGGCATGAATATGAATTAAATCTGTCCAGAGGATCACTAAATATCTTGAACATCAGCTTTTCATTTCAAAAGAAAGAAATCAAAGTGTAGCTTCATATTCTTGTACTAACTTCCAAGATTTTTTTTCTAAAGGTCCAGCAGTGAGTTGATAATCATCTTGGCTGTTACAAAGTCTCAGATCTTTATGGAGCAGTAAATCACTCTCCAATACAGTGTATCACACATTGTACAATACAACCTGTATCTTTATTACAGTGTGTCACACATTGTACAATACAACCTGTATCATTATTACAGTGTATCACACATTGTACAATGCAACCTGTATCATTATTACAGTGTATCACACATTGTACAATACAACCTGTATCATTATTACAGTGTGTCACAAATTGTACAATACAACCTGTATCATTATTACAGTGTATTACACATTGTACAATACAACCTGTATCATTATTACAGTGTGTCACACATTGTACAATACAACCTGTATCATTATTACAGTGTATCACACATTGTACAATACAACCTGTATCATTATTACAGTGTATCACACATTGTACAATACAACCTGTATCTTTATTAGTGTATCACACATTGTACAATACAATCTGTATCATTATTACAGTGTGTCACACATTGTACAATACAACCTGTATCATTATTATAGTGTGTCACACATTGTACAATACTACCTGTATCATTATTACAGTGTGTCACACATTGTACAATACAACATGTATCATTATTACAGTGTGTCACACATTGTACAATACAACCTGTATCATTAGTGTGTCACACATTTACAACCTGTATCATTATTACAGGTTTTACACCTGTATCATTATTACAGTGTATCACACATTGTACAATACAACCTGTATCATAGTGTGTCACAAATTGTCAATACAACCTGTATCATTATTACAGTGTATTATCACACCTGGTGAAGTGTGTCACACATCACACCTGTATCATTATTAAGTGTATCACACAAATCCTGTTAAAGTGTCACACATCACACCTGTATCATTATTAAGTGTATCACACATCCTGTTAAAGTATCACACCCAATATACATTATTACAGTGTGTCACACATTCACCAAAAATTTTGTGTAGAATCACACATTACTATTGAGATATTCAGTGTGTCTAAGATGTAGTTAAAATTAAGTTATTCAAACAATAGTTACCATGACTTTGTGCATAAAGTATTGATATATGAGCAGTTGAAACTCGTTATTTGTAAACACCTCCATTTTAAACACTCCACCATCGAAATTACGATTGTTGCTGAACCAGGTCGGAAAGTTCATGACCTGATCTGGCGAGAGTTGAGGTTTCTACTTATAGAGGAAGCACATGCAGATATGTCTACGGTAAGTTTTTGTTTACAAACATTGTTTGCGAAGTCTTGTCGTAGACTTGAGGTATTTCTGTGATAAACATTCAGTTTTTGGGACATTATTAGAAGGAATAATTAGTTTAGAAACGATACGACGCACAATTATAATGTAAGAATTCAGAACTGGCCTGATGTATGATTGGAAAAAAAGAAAGCGACTGGTGAACGTCTGTACTGTGTCCGCCATGTTTACACACGCGGAATATGTGTATGCGCTATGTCATCGCTACGAGCGGTAATATATGAATTATTGTGGGTCCCACATTGTTTATTTTCCCGATTTTTCAATTTTTATTTAAATTGAAAACAGTCAGTTTTATTTTCTTTAATTAAAGGAAAGTATTTGTTTTGTTACATATATTACGGGGAAAATAAGATAAAGTTTGTTTTTTATAGTGATTTTTACGTATATTGGGGCTTTAAAGTGTATCACACCTTGTATCACACCTGCTGAAGTGTATCAAATCCTGTTAAAGTGTATCACACCTGGTGAAGTGTATCAAATCCTGTTAAAGTGTATCACACCTGGTGAAGTGTATCACATCCTGTTAAAGTTTATCACACCTGGTGAAGTGTATCATACCCTGTTAAACTTTATCACACCTGGTGAAGTGTATAATTTCCTGTTAAAGTTTATCACACCTGGTGAAGTGTATCACACCTGGTGAAGTGTATCACACCTGGTGAAGTGTATCATTTCCTGTTAAAGTTTATCACACCTGGTAAAGTGTATCAAATCCTCTTACAGTGTATCACGTCTGGTTATAACAGAATATATTACCTTACGTTTTGAAGAACAAATTATTGCAGTTCAGCATGAGACCAAGATAAATTTATTTTATATATGCTTAATACTGTGTAAGAATTGCATAAACTTTTCACGGTTGATTTCATTTTCAAATTCTTCCATTTGATTAAATGATTTCACTTTGTGGTCAGGATCAGACACAAATAAATGACAATCTTAATTTTGATATCACTTGGTGGCGACTATATCAGACTAATCGGAAGTGAGAGATAAGTCTAGTACTGGGTAGCACGAGAGATTCACCAGTGAGTCATGTGTACGAAAAAGTATATAAACCTGTTACAATGTATCACAACAGATAATGTGTATTTGATCATCATCACACATTGTACAATAGTATATAATTACATGGCTCTGTGTATCATTCAAACAATATCAAGGGTTTGAAGATGTTACTCACCTTTCCCGAATCAATTGGAGGATCATCAATGTTAATCTCCTCTGTTCCATCTGGACTGTCACCCATAGTGCTAGATACAGAGTTTGAAGGTTTAAATGTACTGTTGTAGTCTACTTGTTCAAATGATCCACTGTGAGGTGAAGAAATGCCGTGTCCTGCAAGAGGTGTAGAAGTTTCTCCAAGGTAGTCAGCCAAACGATATGCTGTAGCAGAATTATCTCGTGATGGTGGTGCTTGACGGTTGGATTTCCGACTCATCACAAAATGTCACTTTTATTGACAGCATGAAAATTCCACTTACACGTGTCTGTCTGTTGTAATAAATCCCCTCACAATCTCAAAATATATTTGTTTAAGGGATCAACTAACTCATGATAAATACCAAAACCAAAAATTGAAGATGGACAATATGCACTAGTTGGGCATTACATTTTTTATAGTTAACCTTTACTCAAGAACGTTCTTCCGCACAGGTTACTCATAAAGATCGAATTTTAGATTATCTAGAATTGTGTTGTTTGCTGTCATTTACAACATAAATCAGCCTTGAGAGGCCATGTGTACAGGAGCAGGTCAAATACACTAGTTCATCACTTCATTGTTCAAGTTTCCAGATAACTAGTGCTGTTATCATCCACATCTAACACGCGAATTATTTCCCTATTATACCCAAATATCGACAGGTTCACGGCATGTCTCCCTGACAACCCATCTGTTTAACAGTTCAACACATGAACACTAATTTTCTTAGCTATGATTAGAGAGGCAATACACAGATAAAAACACGTTGGTTCAGTGATGAGATGAAAACATGTCGATATTCACCGAAAATCGGGCTCGATTTACTGTATAATATAAACCAATGACAGTTAAGTGAAACTGGTCTACAAGGCTGAAGTCATGAGTGTCTGGAAACAAGCTTTGTTCGTAAACAACTTGATCATGCTGACAAAGATATCCTTCGTCCGTCTTTTACACACGATGGTTTCTCACGAAGTCATCCATAGGTGCGAAAACGAGGCTGTGACCCAGTTCCCCCATCTGTTCCCGTCAAAAGACTGAGGAATATTGACTAAAATATTCAATGCTTCTGTCTTTACGAAATGACAAATAATATATTGCGTCGATCAGGCTATTCTTCCGATACTTCTCTATCGTATGTTCATTGCACAAAATTGAAAATCTTCGCGTTAGTTAGTAATCGGCAAATGAAAATACCTTGCATTTTTTGTTGCTGCAGAAAATATTACATAGGTTCTAGACATGCGCGATCAGTATGCGCATTCAGACATTTGTGTAGGAAGTGACGTCAAAGAATAGTCAAATGAGAATTTATTATGTTGATAAAATGACAGTTGTGCACCTTAAGCGCTTGGTAGAGTTTCTGAATTCGTTTAATTACACAGTAAAATGTATAATTACGGTATCTGTGCTGTATTTTGGTAACATTGAAAACAATCAGTCACCATAACATCAGCGTTTGCGTCGACAGGTGCGTGGTAAAAATAATTATATATTTTGTTTGCTTTATGGGTACACTGCAGATCTCTGGTGGAATAGATACTGATTTCTTTCCTGTATTTACACATTCATCGGGGAAGTATGGTACTCTTATTATCTCTGATTCTTCAGTTCACGGTATTGAAAACAGGTGCTCTCACTCTTCGTTGTGTCTTTTGTACAGACTTGATAATTGCAGTGAAAATTTCCCTGTCGGAAAAGATTATACTATGTTGAAAAGAACCCCGAGAGATATTGTAAAATCGTAATTTCACCGAAGTAATGTTATATAAAGCATTCCAAATTTTTGGTGACTGGTTGGTTAATAACTGTAAGAGGCGCGGGTATCCCATCAGGATCGAGTTTCAGAAAAAAACAATAACTGTTTCAAATATTAGTGAAACGAAATGCCCGAACAGAGCACGATTTCATTCCATTGTTATAAATCCCTCAAAGTTTGAGAAAAGATACATTACGAAATCGAAAAAGAGGGCAGTAACCAATGACGTATATTACACACATTGTATATTACACGTCCCTGCAATGATTGTATATGACGGTGATCATATCCCTACAAAGTTTGAAAGAAATCGGTCGTTTGTGGACAAATCAACGTTGTGGCGTTAGTTCGATGGACACACGAGTAAACGAATGACGTATAAACTGCTGTCAAAGACCAGAGAACTTCATTATTTCAAAAGTTGAAAGAAATTGGTAGAAAACTGAAGAGGTCTCCAGACAAGGTTTTAAAGTTGATAAAAACAAAAAATGGGAATTAACTGTACGGTTGAATCAAGGCTGCAGATATAAACACAGCTTAGTGATAACTACTACGTTTTGAAGAGATCCGTTGAAAACGTTTACAACGGACAGACAACGCATATATCTACGCAACTCCCGTCAAAATACTTGAAAAGGAATATGAACAATATAAATGGGTGCATCGATATGTATCCTTATACTTGGTTTGATGTAACATCAGCCTAGTATCACGTATCATGTGTTATACATGATTGGCTTGTTCAGGTTCATGGTAGACCCCCTTGGGCAATCGCAGAGGAATTCAGTCTGTCACATACTACTGTGAGATCATTGAAATGGTAACAATTATGTAGTGGTTCCTGCTTTGTGAGATCAGACTTTGAAACGAGCTTGATAATTTTCTATTTCTTATATGACTTTTGCTTTGGGACAAATTGAACTAATTAATATCACAGGATATGGATCAAGAGGTTATTTTCTTTACTCCTACTAGAGGGATGAAAAGGAATTGACTTTGATTCGGTTTGATTGAGGTAAAGGGCTTCAGTTTTGTACAATTGTAGGTTCTGATCCCAGGTGAACTATCTTACCAGGTTGGTGGTGCAGGTTCTCTACACCTCTTGTTCCCTTCGTAAGAGTAATGATATAGAGACTATATAATGGGCACAGAGAGAGGATATTCTCAATGGTACTGTTATCCCGCGGACCGATATCGTCGGACTAAGTGAGAGGATAGCTCAGTCGTTTAGAACGAATGCATACATACGTAACCCAGCTCTGGAGCAGATCTAATGCCTGTAGTTCTGTTTCTTAGGAAGCTAAGAAACGACTGTTTTTACTAATTGTACCGGATGACATGCTACGGGTCTCCTGTATGTTGTTCAATAAGCTAGCCACCACTGCTACTAAGAGACCCCTTCCCAAAATTACCATTCCTGTTCAGTGGTCGATAAATTCAACACAAATGTCAATATAAACCAGCTGTCTTTGACTCTGGAGTTGTTGGGCTACAAATGAAATTTTCAAAATGACTGCCATTACGTCCAGAATTCTCGTAGAATAGTCTTGTCCTTGTGTAACGGATTGTTTTTTACTACAACTACCAGTCTGTCGTTGCATTACTATATCAACCCAGATAACTCGAGTTTGCCTTTTAGATATCTAATTATTGGATGATATACACATGACACTGGTGGTAAATGTCTACGCAACTCATATTATTTATTTACCAAACAAAATACAATATTCAATTTGGCATTTTCCAGCAACACGAAGTAAAATCAACAAAGACGACCAAGACCATACAACTCAGTGAAACCATCAAGAAATTACCAACATATTAACATAATCATAGTCCAAACTCAAATTCGATGAAACTATGGCAAAAATGAAGAAAAAAAATGAACAAAGTACAAGGTAAATAAGACCATGTGATCCGGAAGAGTAATTGTCTTCTGCTTCATCATCGACACTGCCATGTAAACCTTGGTCAATTCAAGTAAGTAATGTAACGTTCTCAAATGAGAACAAGATATACAACGAGCATGCAGCTCGTCCACCTTCACATCGCACGAAGAAATAGAATATTTCTCAATATCATATTTTCGTCAACCTGCATCTTTTGAAACACTGACTGTGTTTGATTTTTTAAACAGTCGTAACGGTTTATAGGAAAGATGTATACCATAGTTGCTCTCAGTCTTAGGTCGAAAGGAGAAACAAAACTGACCTCCGGCAACAACTTGAGGTTGTATTATTATACTCAACTAGCTCCGCGCCATACGACTCGTTTTCATTGAGACAAATCACAGGGGAACGAGATATTCATTTCAATACAGCAAAACGCACACAAGCGTGTGCTATATGAATTTCATACTAGGTTTTATAAATAAACAAGAAGTAATTTAACAAACTATGCCGGCATTACCGCTGTTGTTATGTTAGAGTTATCTACCTTAATGTAGTGGTTAAATCACGTTAGAGGTCGACACTATACACATTTCCTTTTCCGTCTTCTTCCTGGCAGTCGAAGGTCTGAAACTAGTAATCGAAATAAAATCCGTTACCATCTTTTATCGAAATTAATTTCCTGTGCTGAGATGGCTGTATTCTGTTAACAATACATTTTAAAAATCGATCCTGTAATGTAATATAACCTAACTTTAATAATTACATTGTAAACTTATATTGAATACGGGTGACTTGCCATTTGAAACGTGCATTTTCGTTCAGGTGTAATGTTATTTACTGGCTATCCATAATCGTTATTTTCTTACAAGTTCAAATATTATATGTGTTCACATAACAGGTTTATACTGTTCCGTCGGTCATAGGCAAGAAGTGTTTAATCAACCAGAATTTCCGTTAAGAATGTAGTTATCGAGCTTACAAATTACAACCGACAAGCTTCGCAGTGTTTATGATATTGTATATGAATTCAGATTCGCTAAGAACATTATTACTGCATGCACAAAACCCTTAAAGTTTCTGCTATATCATTTGCAAACGGCATGACCAATTGATATGCCCAATTAGCAAAAATACAAAATTGATGATTGAATGCTCAAACCATAATGTAGCCTGATGGAGGGTCTTTCCCTTGATGATTCAGGGAATTAGCAATAAATGCACCAGATTCGCAGTATATCACCAGCGACGTGTCTTAATGAGTTAGTTATTTATTCAAGAATAATGGTCCCGTAATAACTTCGAATGCCTTCGAAACTTCATATTAGAATATTTAATGTTTACAATGTTGTATATAGCATTTATGTTACTGTCAAACCTCGGAGTCCTATTGAAGCCCCAATAGTAACAGTATCCAGTATTGGGATAAAATTGTGGAGTATATTTATATTGACAGATTGTGTTTAATGTTAATTGTTGTTTACATATTTCATCTCCAAAGCCAATTGTAAAATGCCCATAAATATGTTAGTAAACCAAAATAATCAAGAAGACTTCAATTTTAAAAACATGATTTTAAGAAATAAAAGAGTTTCATGACACAAATCCAAACAATTTTCATTTCAAAATCTTCACCAATGATTTGTTTTATCAAAAAAAAAAAAAAAATTATCAGTCCACCACAACTTGTTGGCATACATATTCCTATTTTCTTGTGCATCAGTTGCCCTGCTGAGTATAGATTGTATATTATCATTTGTAGTACATTTGGTATAAGTATGCGTTTAAATAGGTTGTGAACCAAAACTTGACAACAATTTTAGTGTCTGATCAATGAAAATATTACTGATGACATGACAATACGCTTAGAAATATTTCTTCTTTTTTGCAGAAGCAAGATGGCTGTCCGACCACTTGTTAAGCTAAGAAATGTACACAAACGAAACAAGAAATTTATTCGTCATCAGTCAGACAGATATGACAAGGTCAAGGTAAGATCATTTTTGAGCTATG